AAGTCTATATCCGACACATTGTCGAATTTGGCACAGCAGCAACTTCACTTTACAGAATCATAAAGTAATGCGCTTGAAAGTATCCTAATCTCACAAGAAATTCTTTCTAGGGATTCTCAGCTCAAACTAACCCCTCATTCCTGCGACTGAAGAGCGTGAAAAATGATTTCTTCACCCATTCTGCTTCTAGATTGAAGAACTTTGGCCTCTTTTTAACATTCAAGATCTTAAATAGTAGCCGCAGAATCGATTTTTCATGATTTCTCAACTCCTTTATAGCGAGAGGAACTCCATTCAAACTGAGAGTTACTTCAAGCAAGTCTCTCTTGCCACCGCAGTTCTTTACTCTTAGAGTCTTATCAGAGCTCACAGATTACTTAATGAGATATCCTCGATCACCATAGCTAAATGCTGTTCTTTTGCAGTTCGTTTTCCGACCATAGTTTTTATCATAACTTCTGCTCGCTTTTGTGCCTGTCAATTAATTCTGTCTTTTGAGGAGTTGTTCTGCTTTTTAATTTCTTGTAATATCTTGTCTATGCTTTCCACTTTCATTGCCTGACAATTTTTTCTACAGGGTGACTCATTATCCAGTGGCTATTCATCAATCCCTTCAACCCTCAATGCTGAAATCTACCTCAGTTAGCATTTTGGCTTTAACCCATTTACAACATGATCGCAATGGAAACTGCTCATGGGTTAAGTTACCATGAGGTAGAAATCAGCCTTAAACGCATAAACCCGTATTCATCTCTACCTTGAGCCCAAATTCTACCTTAATCATCATTTCTCCTTCAACTTCCCATTATGCATTTAGAGTAGATTACAGCGCTAGGATAGCTAAGGCTAAAACTCACCTTAACTTTACAGAAAACAGTTGTACTCTCTCGAAGGACCTCCTTTGACGGAACCGTTTTCGGACAAATATACAAAGTGTGCCAACCTAAGTGCCTACTGTTTTGATTGCTAATTACTCTCCTGTAATAAAGTCTTTGAGAAGCTTAAGGTACCGTACCGTTTGTAGAGCTGACTACAACCTAGATTTACAGTAAGGTGCGAATAAAGAATCTATCTTCATTACTTAGGAGCACGGTAGGAACTTGCAGCATATGGCGCCACTGTGAAAAGGCAGTTTGGAAAAAGTTCCCAAAGTTTCTGAAAAGATTTGTAACAAGGTGTTTACGCATGTTTAGAATCAGTGGCTCTGATTAATCCAGCGTATCTATTTTGAGGGTGAAATATGACATTATTCCCTCAAAACCCCACTCAAAATTAAGATCACTAAGAAGTTGATTATGAAGTAAAATTTTAGGTTTTAGCGCGCAAAGCTCAGCCATCCACTTGGATTCATTCCAGAAATTTTAGAATGAATTTCAAAGAATAATGCCTCCCTATCACGCTAAGACCCGCGTTATATCTTGATCAATCTTGAAAAAAATAATCTGTGAGGACATATTTGATTCCTTCTCTCAGCTATCTTCCATAATTTTACCATAGAACGAAAGGTAAACACCGCGTGTAGCAGACTGCTTGTGGTTGAAAGAAAGCTTATAATTTTGCTTGTAAGACTGTGGAGATGTTTGGTCGGGTAGTTTCTGTAGTTTTTGCCCATTTCAGGCTCTGAAGAATGAGGATCATTGCCGAAACGTTAGCCTAAATAAAAATAATCACCAGTCTCAGTCGCAGCTAGAGTTGATTCAATGTAATATCCGTCATTTCATAAGGTTTGATACAGATACTGTATGAGACTGATCGGAATGCAAATTTTGCGACCTCAAAATTGGTAACTCGAGACATACCATATCAATGCACCACCTTTCCTCATACAAGTAAAGGATGCCAACATTAGTCGGCGACTGAAGAGGAGTGTATATCAATAGACACACCTCTGAAAGCAGATTCCAAATCTAACATCCTTCTTTGCGAAACAAGTCTCCGAGAGAAGTTGTGAGCGTTTGAATTTCCAAGTTTGTCAAGATTTAGACGCCTAAAGTTGGCGAAAAGCTGCACCAAAACATCGGAAACTGGAAAATCAGTTTTGTATTGAATATATTGTTTGCAATGAAGGAACAGAACCAGTGAAAATCGCATAGGTACTGTTTTAGAGCTTTTCGCTGATTGCAAGCCACTCAATGCTTGGCAAATTTGAACATTCAAACGCTCATAATTTCTTCCAGAAACTTATTCCGCAAAAAATTGATATACATCTCATCACAATCGCCGACTAATGTTGGTATCCTTCCCTTATTAGGTATGCGCTGATGGTAAGACTGGTGAAGCTTGAATTATTCAACCATACTTGTGGAATATTTCCCAGACTGTAAGCTAGCATGGTTTCATGCCATTGCTTTCCGTTCAATGAAGACGGTTTTAGCTTAGAAGACGGACTTTAAAATCATTCCACACAGATCAATAGAATCAAAAAGAATCAAATATAAAATCTTGGCTTGCTTCCATTTTTTTCATCATTGTCGTAAGCGGCGCAGAGGAGGTGTATGCTTCAACATAGTTTTTCATCAAATTTTGAATTTTGGGCCAGGATGTAATGTTTTGCAGCTGATGCAAGTGAAAAAAGAATTATTTGTGCAAATAATGATACAAACACGACATACAGATACTCTAGTGCGATTTCAAGGCAGGTTCACTCAATCAATTCTATTCTTGTGACAATCAAAGCAAGATCTTCTGCGCGCAGAGGCACATTTACTTCGATTATTGACAAAATGGACTTATAAGTCATTTGGGGTTCATATAGTGCAGCTCAAAGACAAAATCGACTTTTAAGTCGATTTGGGGTTCATATGGTGCAGGTCAAAGACAAAATCGACTTATAAGTCGGTCTGGGGTTCATATGGTGCAGCTCAAATTTGACTCCACTTACACTTTGATAAACATGAAGCGTAGACTTGTATTCTGTAATAAATCTTAAGTGTCACGCTCAATCGTGGAAATGATTGCCTAATTCCATGGCGACCTCTCATATTCCGCCCAAAAGCGCCAGAACGCAACTATCAGCAAGCGTTTTTAAAATCACTCAACGCTACAACTAATTGTGAATCGCGGAATAGGAACTCCTTATCTCTTAAATGGGTTAAGAATCGTGACGGTGATATCAAGTCAGAGTTCAATCAATTTACAAATTATCTGAACAAACCGTTGTTATGCAACGTTCTTAAGTGCGAGCAACGATTATCAACGATGCATCAAAGTAATTTGTACAGGGCTATTCTCTCAGCGATCAACAAACCACTTGTGAAAAAAAATGTGAATGAACATGGTTGTTCTAAAATAGAACATGTTTTCAAAACTAACGTTCCAGCGCAGAAAGCCATGCTCGTGAAAGCATTCTTGCGCTTGGACCTTTCAAGCGCTTCTGGGCGAAGTATGATACGTTCCTAAGCGTTGCGCACTTGAATGGAAGCGTTTTGGCGCTTCCTAGCGCTTTTAGACGCATTCCGCTTTTAGCACTCCTGGGCGTTTTCGGCGTTTTTGAGCAAAGTACGACGGATCTCTTAGAATGCTTTCCTGCTAAAACACTGCAATTGGACCTATAGTTTATGACACTGATCTGGCAAGGGAATCACTAATAGCGAGGGATTTCATACACCGCTAATACGTCATAGCATGTCCTGAATAAGCGTCACTGAGCATTTAGCTAACCATCAGGTAGATTTAACCTTAAGGTAGATTTGCGAATAGCTAAGTTATTTTGAGATTAAAATCTACCTTAAGGCATGCTCTCAAGGTAAGATTTGACCTCAAGGTTCGTTGAGAACACGCCACAGATTTCACTTGCATTTTACCCCAAATGTTTCTACTGTCCGTTTCAATAAAGGTAAGAAAGATGCGTTTGCAAGGCAATCAAAGCATAGTCCGGGAGAGAATAGCGTTCAGCAATTGCTATATTCGTTCTTCTTACATCACGCCCGATATCGGTTGGCGACTTAGATTGGCCTATGACATCTACTCCGCCCCGCATATATAACATTTGATTCAACTGGCTCTTGGCTCTGACAAGGCGGGGCTCCGTGACCTAATTAAGGCTAGCTAGTGATCAGAGAGCACCCGCGCGAGAGAGACGCAGGTGCGTCGCGGGCGCGAGCGGCCTTAATTACGTCACAAAACCCCGCCTTAACGAAGCCAAGCTAGTTGAATCAAAGGTTATGTGCGTCTATATCGGTTCAGAACGGAATCTTCGAACTGGAACACCACATAAAAAGTTCCTAAAAAGTAGATTTGCCAATTTGCTTGAGCAACGTTTAACGACATATCCTGCACTGTATCCTCTTTGTTTACGGGCTCCGTAGGATTTAAGTTCAGCAACCCAAGATCCCCTTTACTCTGATACACATTTCCGATTTCTTTCATCGCTCAAAGCGGTCAGAAGGTAGGTATGCGTCGAAGGTTTAGAGCAGTCCAATGGAATTGAAATCAGCATTTATTACAGGACTGTCGATTTGCGGCACCCAATAAACGAAAAACAAAATAAATTGTCTTCGCTATCGTCCATTCTTCCGCTGCACAAAGAGACCACCTAACCATCGGTGAAGTTTCTCTTGCTCAGGCAAGTAAAGAAAAGCTCAAAACGGATACCCTTATGAAGCAAAACCCTCTTACTTTCTGCACTTAAATCGTCTAGAAATACTCAGATAGCAATCGTACAGAAAGCGAGCACATCTAGGAGAATGGAAAGAAGGAATGGGTGACATCCGTCACGGTTGATGAATGATTTGGAGAGTGAAAGAATGAACTACATCCATCATTACGGCAGATGTCATCTACGCGTGGTTATGGGCTCTTACAGATATCCATGTTCAAAAGCAACAAATGTGCGACCCAAATTGTCCTTAGTCATTTTTTCTAAACTGACCCACCCTTGCGAATGAAATTCAGAACTTTTATTCCTTTGGGCATGCAAGTCACATTTCTTTCAGTTTTTATACATACTTTTGCAGATTGGAAGCCAACCTGCAGTAAAGTAAAAACTATCTGATGGATGCATGGCCTCGGCTTCATTATTTGTAGTGCTGCTTTTCGAAGGTCAGTTCTTAGCGTTTTGAAATGCGACAAAGACGACGCTTCTTCTATGCTTATGTCATTTGTCTTATATCGATAGGGGAAAAGGATTGCCATTTCACCATAGCATGAATCTAACAGCTTGTCGGAAAAGCTGATCAATGCGATTGTGCTCTACTTCAACCATGTGCAGGTGGCAGAAGTTTTGTGAAGTTAGATTAGACATACGCTTGATTGCATCTTTAATAGGAGGAGGTTACTAAACGAACGCTGTAGATAACTTCATTTCCTGATTTCCTTTTAAATGCTGATTTTATTCTTTGTCTGCGAGGCAAATCCTTGCATGAAGTTAAGGCAGTAAGCTGCACTGTTGCGGAGGATAAAAGTAGTAAGATCTTCTTGCACTTTCGTCTACCGTCTAAATTCCTACATTAATTCGCCTACAATAATGGTTTTTCGTGAACATTGCCCGAAAGCACATGAGAGCCTTGTCGAGTTTGCTCTTCTGGGTCTTTTGAAGTTTTGTCAATAAAACCGATGATGTTAGGCATACCTCAAGATGGCGGATGTTATGATCCTTGGCCAGGCGCGTCCCCGTGCTTTACCAAAAAATTAGCAGTACACAGGTAGAATGTTCCAAATGCGTAGTCCACATCTAGTACTGCTTGAATAACTGTGATAGTGCGGCAGTTTGAGCATTTACAGGATCCATTTTAATGAACATATAACGCCGTGTTTTTTGAAACTTTTGGAAATTCAAATTAGCTCTTCCAAAGAATTTTACCGGGACGTGGGTAATGCCCCCATCTTGGCTCGAAAAAAAAGCTTTTGCTCCCCTCCCCCCACCCAAACGGAAACTCTGAGAGAGCCACTGCTAGTATTAGGTTGGTAAGAAAGTTTTTGGACATTTTCACGCAAACATCGCTATTTCTCAGGTTTTAATGCATTTACGAACGCGAAAATTTGTGGTTGCACTCTCACATATACGCAGCTTATACTGTGCAGGTGGGAGGAGCTTAGGGTCATTAGGGCGGAGTTTGCACTTTTCGATTATCTCATTTTTCCTGCTAATTAAGCTCAAATTCCATACAAACCTTGCATATATGCATGTGAGTTCATGCCTACTATATATTGGAGCATTTGTGAGTGTTACGGTGTTTACGGAAGAGTTCTGAGCTCTGTCGAAATCCTATGTTTTCGAGTTTTCATCTCCATTTTCACAGGTTTCATTATTCATGGTTGTGATTAGTATGGTTTTGTAGTGTCTGCTTTCCTCTATCCAATGATGTACAGCATGCCCTATTTAGTGCTTGCATCGAAGCATTATCTTTGTGTAAAGGCAATGTCCGAGCACTTTCTTACCAACCTAATAGATAGAGGCCACAGTTTACTCCTCTAATGAAAATGAAAAAATTCATGAATCAGAACAGCTATGCACCATTTTAGCTCACTTCACGATCTCAACAACGACTTCTCAAAAACAACAATATGATCGACAAGTTTATGAGATAGATACTGCAAAACTGCGTAGATTCTGGCACACCGGTACAATCCTTGGAGTCATCAAAGTAAGCCGCTCCTGTTTCTAACACGTCTATTAGTCTTAGATTTTGGTTCAGACATACACGAAGTCTATGCTTGCGGAACTTCCGCACGTTGAAAGAGTTGTGTATGACATTTGTTCGAGAGATGCCAAGAGTATAGTGGATCTTGCTAAATGTTCTGTCAGAGTGTTTAACACACGGGATGCCTTAAAATCTCAGCAGGTGATAACGAGCAGCACTCAGACGACCTCTACAGTAACATCGACAAAGTCAACAACTTCTCCTACATTATCTTCTCCTTCTATACAAAACAGCCCCTTCAAAGTATGGATGGACAATGATTTACCCACAGAGCGGAAGAAAGCAAAAATCTTCAGATCATCTCCCTGGACTTTGAATGATCACAAGTCGAGAAAAGTCGGGAATAGAATCAAGTTCAAATTCGATTTGGAAGATGAACGCTCATTAAATTTTATGACATCACCATCATTCCGCATACTAAGTCTGCACCCATCCAAAAAGCGTGTAGACAAAAACAAGCCTAACAGACGAGAAAAAGCTGACCCTTTTGGGCCCCTGCACAGAAGAAAAGGTGCACGTTCTTTGAGAGTGCGAAGTTGGAGAAAGCGAACAAAGAGAAATGCTTTTGATGCTGACAAGAGTGCAAAGTTTGGATCAAGAAAAATGCACATTTCGACCGGACTAACAACCGATCTCAGTCGCTTAGCAGACATTTATAACGGTGAGAATTTCGACTCAAGACTTACATGCATTTGCTTGCTTATTAATTGACCTTTATTCATGACCAGATTGAGATAATAGACAGGGCTCGGCAAGAGGTGGCTAGTTGAAAATGCTAAAAACGAAGTCCCCTTTGATTTTTGCCAATTTTTACAAAGTCCCCTTTGACCTTAGACCATAATCCCTAAAAAATCTCCAGAAAACGAAACGTTGACAAAAAACGTCGCAAATTTTGTGTCTTTTCGACCACAAAAACGAAACCCCCCTTGCTTCTGGTCCCAAAAACGATATCAGCTTGCTAGTAAGCCACCTGTGCCGAGCTCCGATAATAAATAAATCTTGTAATTTGAACCGAACTTTGCACACATAAACTTTGAGGCGCGGCGGGCATCACTAAGCTTTTACACCAAAAATTACTAGCTGGTGCGATCAATTTATCGGTTTTTGCCGTCTTTTGCTTATCAGTTTTGTTGTGACCGACTTAAATCTCAAATAGAATTTTGGAATCTGAATTGAATTTTGCAAACATAACTTCGGGGCGAGGCGGGTTTTACTAATTGGCACTATCGATTCAACCTTTATATAATAGTCGTTCAAGAGATGCCTCAAGAAACAGTCTCTACGGGATAGTTCATGCTATCACCAAGATGACAAAAGGTTCTATCACAAATGTGCCTGTTTTTCATATTTCTTCCTTGAACTAGAAAGACAATCATTTTTTCAAAAAATTTTGTTCATTCCATAACTCCGTGCCGTAAAACGACATTGAAGCGAATGTGAGAATCTTTCTTTCCGCTCCCTTTCTTGACCTCCATAAGCAAGAGATGGACTTGTAACCATAGGTGCGATAGGGAGAGCCGGGCCCTCTCCAGGTGAAGGGGGTCTCTGCTACTCCCATCCTTGTAAGGTGAAGGGGGTAAGTGAACCCTTAAAGCAAAATGCCCCAACAAATTACATATCATTCGAAAGCTGCGGTTATGTAGAATCAACGTAGAACGTCGATTTTTTTCTAGGTCTTCTGTGCCACGAGATATGAGGCATTTTATGTACTTCATATATCAGCTGATTTCATGTCCTCACTTTCTGCTCTCCAAATAAATGCTACGAGGAAGACGACAGTCTACTTTTGTTAAAGAAGACTTGCTCTGTAACAGAGATAGATAACCAGCAGTGATTAGGTGTTCTTTTGGCAGAAATCTGCTGCTGAAAATGGACATGATTTCAGATAAAATGCAGTGTATCTCTCGGTAGAGGGGGGGGGGGAGCTAGAAAGAAGTCGACGGTCTAGGTCAAATCCCCTTTTCCTGAGCTTTTGAATGGTATATGGATTGCTGGGCAAAAAAACTTGCCAGTTTTTGAAAATGGGGTGGAGATATTTACTATTAGCTTGCTCCACCCAGCTTCCCCAATGTATTGGCTTTTATCGGTCACCGGAGCAAGTACTTTTTAGAGCCGGGAAGCAAAAAAGCCTTAACATGCTTTATACCATTCAAAAGCTGAGATCATGGAGAATCGCCGTAGACCGTCTCTTTTTTCATCGCTTCTCCATGAAGCAAGATACGAGCAATTTTATACGCCTACTCACCAGCTAATTTTGTGTAACTATTTTGTGCTTCATTTTGAAAGAAAGGACAAAGATAGAAAAAAAGAGAAGGTCTATATTGGCAAGGTCTTGCACTGTGATACTGTTAGACAATCAGGCACCTTCATTCATTCTTCACGCAGGAATTTCTTGACAAAAACACACATGTTTTTAGCTAAAATGCCATGTATCTCTAGGTTAGAGGGGCTAGAGGAAAAGAGACGGTCTACTGTATCTTTTTTTCCTAGCTTTTTTGTGAAGCGAGATACGAGCAGATTTATCTAGTTTTACTATCAGCCAATTCTGGATAGTTATCTGTTCAAACCAAGAAGATCTTTTTCGAACTTCTATATACGATCCGAAAGCTTGAGAAACGCATAATCTAGCTGCTTTCTTATTTGTCATTATTCTCTCTAGTGAAAGGAGATATGATACGATTATTGTCAGCAAACATGCATCCATCACTAGCTCGTCCAAATTTTCTACTCTTGCTTAACTCCTTCTTGAGACAGTGTGTAATCATTGATACAATGTTGATTAAAAAAATCAGTCATTCTTTTAATTTTATGTTATGTTTCGTTAGCAACGCTTTGAGTGCGCAGAAGGTCTCGAGCATGGGTTTTTTTTAACAAAACGCTGTTGATTCGATAATCTTGATGTCTGAGAAGAAGAGCAGCTGGCGTTTCCTTTCCAAACAAAAAGTGTCATTGTAACAGCTGCTTGATTCTGCCGTTATTCCTTGATTCTAGTAAACTCAGGTGAAGGTGGTCAGCCAGATGCCGGCCCTAAAGTGGATGGGGTCAGAGAAATTTCTCCACCCATCGCATCTATGCTTGTAACGTCTGCTGAAATTTTGTGCCGCAATGCCAGTCAAAATTGCAAAGTTCTGAGAGATATCAAGGCTGTCCTGCTACACCCTAGATCGGGTTACGCTTTCAACAGCTAAATGAAATGCCTCCCAAAGGAGGCACTTCCCTCTCTTTAGACTACAAAATTTTCCTTGATGCTGCAATATTATTCATTAAATATTCACATACATATAATACTGGGATAGTATTGATAGTAACATTTCTTAGCGGTAATAAATGACAAATTAAAAAATTACGCTACTTCGAAATTCAACTTGAGAAACAGATGGAACCTTTAGAACAGCCCAAGACTTTGGAATATCCCAGCATTGCTTATATACGACAGATATTAATGTGCGTAACTGTTTTTATCGCCACTAAATTATTTATGGGCGTTTCATTGCCGCGAGATAAATCTGCAATGGCTACTGCGGTGAACAAGCTCATAAATCCGAATTGAGATCTGTCCCAACGCCATTAGTCAACAGATTGATTTAGCGCAAGCACGGTGTTTTTGAACCAAATTAATGAGTTCCATTTTTCGTCTCAATTAATTTACCTCATCCGATTAAGACAATTAATTTGGAAGAAAAATTGTAGGAAATCATGGAACGAACGCAGGTGAAGAATTCGCGCCGAAGCAGATGAGAGAAATAAAACAGTCACGTAAGATAAAGGCTATTTCGACAGAGCATCACATGCCACACTTTTAACTTTAGAACCTACTTCGCACATAGATAAACTGCTCTTAATTCGTGATCACTTTCAAAGAGTGAAGGAATGTAACAATTATTTTGACAGTCTCAACGAACAAAACAGAAAGTGAGCCTATTTTGCTTACGGCTAAACTGCTGGAATTCAGAAGTTTAAAAACTCCACCATCCAGATTTTTCGAGCAATTTAAACTTGGCATTGACAGTCAAGCGCCGACAGTTGAGAAACAGGCAGCTTCAGTGATGGATGGGGTCGTACAGACCATAAATGCATTCACGGTAAGTCCTTCTCATATCTACTTGTTATCGCCAGGTTCTTTGAGCTGCTTACCAGTATAACGTCAAATCTTCCCGGAACTCCAAGAATCTTATTTTGATATTTTTATAGAACGTGGTAGCTAACATTTAAAAGAGATCTTTGGCTACATTACACTCATTTTAGATTATATAGGTCTCGTTTATCAAGCCTTAATGTTATATAGGGAAAACCGCGGTTTTTGATCACCTTCAGCTAGGAGTATCGAATTCCAGAAAGCTGATTTTTTCAAAGCAGATCAATTGATTTTTCACAGGTGATGTTCAAAAACGATCAAGTTTCAACTCGCAAAACTTTGGAAGCTTTCATGTTTTTGCTGCAGTGAGACCTGCGAAAAATTTATATCTCAAAGATAAAAACAGTAGCAGATCAGAGGAAGTTAAACATTATCGTACACTCCAAACTCCGCAAAAAAGAAAGCTCTATTTGGGGTCATACTTATTGAGCGTGGTTGTACAGTCGTTTGAGTAAACCGGCACGACATTCGAACAGATGCATGTCTCGTAGCAGCGAGCTCTCATCCTCAACTTGAAAAAAACGTTGGCTTTTAAATTTCCAGCAAATCTTATGCGGGAATCGTACTGTTAAACAAACTTTCAGAGCCAAACATCATCCGACAAGCTATCCCTATTCTCACCACGCCTGCTTTCTCTACTTCCCGAACCGTCTATTCCGAACCACAAAAAAGTTCTGTCGCCTACGATGTTCAGCTTCCAAAAGGAAGGAATCCTATCGCTACCGGAGCTTTTCAAAGTAGGTTCGTATCATATCATAGATCAAACTCATGATGTTGATACAGATAGCAGCCATTAGTAAGGAGGAGCAAAATGACCTATTGGAATTAATTATGGATTTGAGTGGCGCAGGAAAAGCGCTTCAGGTAAGCAAATTGTGACTGCTTGGTGCTATTTACTTCTAAATGATGCAGGATGTCCTCACGAGTCTACAACCAGAGATAGAAGAAATACTAAACATCAAATTTCCATTAGTACAGGAATTATTGCAGCACGACAAAAGATGGACTCGGTATGTTCTAACTGAAGAAAACAATGAGCTTTATAGCAGTTACAACAATTGCAAAGCTGTATAAACTATGTCTCTTCTACACGATAAAATATGCGTAGGTTGTTGACCTCCTTTTCAGTTCGCGGGCTAGCTTCACAAGAGAGCAAAACAAGGATTACGACGAAAAAGGATATGCTTTTTTGGACGAGGAGCAGTTAAATCTGATATATACTCCAGAAGGTATTTCTCATAGTTCCTTTCATTATTAGGATATGCTATTAGTTCAATAGCTGATAACACATGCTTTCGTTGTGGCAATCTAAAATCATATTTTCACAAATTTTCTGGTGAGTAAAATTGTGACAGTCTGAGGGAAAAATCACATCTTCAAAGATGTTATTAGTGAGCAAAATCGAAGCCAAAGATAAGCTGGAAAGAAGAAGTAGAGGAAGAGCGTTGCCTGCGTGTTAAATCACATCGTTTTCTACAAGACACTCAGTGTCATATATGAGACACAAACTTACTAGACCAGCTTCGCTACGGAATGAATACTACAAAGCTTGGTAGACTGACGCGTCAGGAAAAGATGGCAAGGGTAGAAAAGAATATTCGAGAATTAGCAGCGCTTGATAAACCTCGAGGACCAAGCTGGGGATCAGGTAAGTTCTTAACACGCTTGCTATGTTTCTTGAGAAATGCAGTTCAGCGAGGGTTAAACGGCAAGCAAACGAAGGACCTATAAATTGGGTGACCTTATCACCTACGGCCTTCGCCGTCCATGTGCTTGGTGGTGCATCCATGGATATCATTACTTTGTCACCGCGAGCTTTCATAGTGGACGTTCTGTGGCCGTCGGCCTTGATAGTAAGTTTATTTTCTACTACAAAAGAAATAACAGCGTTCAACTTGCACTATTCCAGCAAGAAACTCTCTCACCACGGGTGTTCATTGTGGCAATTCTTTCTCCAAACGCTCTCATCGCACGCATCATATCACCGACAGCTTTTCGTGTTGAAGTGCTTTCACCCCGAGCACTAGTAGCATGGGTTCTTAGTCCTCAAGCATTTGTGAGTACTTGCCCACTCTTTACCCTATCCTTTATCCCATCTATGAAATCTACAGGGTGCCTTGAAAAAATGTGCACGATATATAATCGCTCATTTGTTTCTTGCTATAAAATCTCTCGTCGCTCTTACAAGGGAAGTACTATCAATGGCCGTGGCCTTTTGATATATGATGCATATCATCTGAAGCAGCTTCGAACGCTGATTTCAAATCTGCTTTCCGTTTCTGCGGAACGGCCCCCTGAAAAGAGTTATGGAAGCCTGAGCATTCTATTTTGGGGGCGCCCTTGAGTTTGAGGGTGCTCCTATGTGCATTGGTGTGCAGTAATGTAGTGGTTAGTTGCTGACATTGAAGATGAAAGGTCGATGGTTCGAATGCTATGCAGAGCGAACTATTTTGCTTATTGAATGTGAGTTTGAAAGCACTCTAAATCGCCTGCAGACACTTACTGTAATGCCTTTGGCATAAGTGACCTAGAAAACAATTTTCTGGCAAACTGCTTGTAATGAGAGCCTAAAATTCTATTTGACTTCCTTACTAGTAAAACAGGACCGAACATGGCGTAGCACGTTTGTCAACATATAAAGCTCAAAAAATGCACACTCATTAGTCGAAAAGATGTTCTCTCCTGTTTGTGCTAAGGCATTACAGTAAGTGTCTGCAGACGATTTAGAGTGCTTTTAAACTCATATTCAAAATACAAAATGGCTTGCTCTCTACCGGATTTGAACCATCAACCTCTCGCATTCAATGTCAGCTAGTAACCATTACACTCTACTGCACCACCAACGCACATAGCAACGCCCTCAAGCTCAAGGGGCGCCCCCAAAATAGGATGTTCAGGCTTCCATAACGCTCTTCAGAAGAGCGTTCTGCAGAAACGGAAGGCAGATTCGAAATCAGCGTTCGAAGCTGCTTCAGATGATATGCATCTCATATCAAACAGCCACGGCCATTGAAAGTACTTCCCTCGTTAGTTTACTTTTCTCTACTGCTGGCTTCAACTTGGCTTTGCAGTACGGAGCGAAACACCAATCTCTCTTTCCATTACTATGGTACTACGGTAGGAATTTCCAGCATATAGCGCCCTTGCGAGACAGGTCATTTGGAGAAAAATTTTCCAAAGAATTTTGAAAGCTGTGTGGCAAGGTATTTATGTTTAATGACTTCACCACACAACCTTTTTCGATTTCGGAAGCTCTCCAATGTTGAAAACACATTTTCTAGAAAAGAAAATGGTTATTGCGGTTTACCATGCATAACCGAAGCATTGGGAAAATGCGAATCTCATAATCAAAGTCGGCGACTCTGGATTAGAGAATTTAGATTGTTTCTCTTTTTAAACCGTGATACGATCTTTAGTTACTTGAAGCCTTCTTCAAGGTCTATACCGCAATCTAAAGAGCAACAGTGAATCCGTCCATGCTGTAGGTCGAGTTGATTCCAGCTCTACAAAATGGTATCTAGGCATCTGCAAGTTGGAAATGGAATTGGCAACGGCCTCAAGAGGCACTAATAGAAAAATCAGAGTGACATTAGCATTATGTAACTCCAAAATCTGATCAAAAGATTGCCTTCAAGCGGATCTTGAAGCCTCGATCTGGTTTTTAACGGGTTGGCTTTTTCAGCTTGCACAAATTCTCACTCCAAACATCCTAAATCCCAATGTGTTAAATCCAGATACTTTCGTACTGCAACTGCTCAGTCCAGGTGACGATATTCCCATGATCACAAGCCGCAAACAAGTTCTCTACTTCAGCGATAATCTCGCCCGGCGCCGGATCGCCGACAGCACTGAATGCTTTTGTTTTAAGTCCAGCAATATTATCGCCTCGTCTTCTTAGCGGACAATATTTAGTTCTTGAGGTAGCAAGTTGTTCAACTTTTTGCATCTTTATATGACATCATGCAGATTCTTTCGCCTCATATACTGGGAGGAGAACACACAGAATGGGAAGCCCATCGGGGAGTAGCTGAAGTTGGAGGATATGGAGGTGCTTATAGTCCACACTATCACGGAAATCAATTTGTACAGGGCGAGCCACGATAAGGAGATATTCACATATTCAACGCCAGTATCTTTTCCCTGTCTAGGCAGTCTTAAAGCACTGTCTCGGCATAATTTCGTTTCCAAATTCTCACCTTTTTGAAGCTTTCTCACCTATACCTGAGCTTTTCAGCGCATGAATATGGCGAAAATGAGCTTCTCCCGAAGCATTCCATGTCCGCATTCAGTCGGAGAATACGTGTAAGTGGGCGGGGCCCGGAACGAAGGAGGCGGGGCGCGGAAGACTTTCGGCTATTTTCAGTAGATGCGGATCTGGAATGCTTTTAAAAAAGCTCATTTCGCCATTTTTATGCGCTGTGAAGCCTAGATGTGGATTCTTCATGGCGAAAGGCTCCGAAATGGTGAAAGACTGGAAAACAAAATTCTGCCGAGACGCTGCCTTTGATAGCAGAATAGGCTTGCCATTTGAATTCTTCATGTTTTCTGTGTTTTAATTTCCATATGTACTTCGCTAATAAAATGGCTTACGAGCCGCAACCGAGCACTACATTTTGTTGCTGCCAACGACTCGGTGCTGTGCAAGACATTTATTAAGTAATTTTAAACTGCGTATAAGATATTCGTATAGTATTTTTGATAGGATCATTTTCGATTGAACTTGAGTACCCTGTAATGCGCAAGCAAAAGATAAAGCTCTAGGGATGTCATATCAATTCCCACCTTTGCCAGGCTATTCTGCCCGAGCTGGGCGGCAAACTGCATCCGTGGGTTCGAAGTGTGTTTCATCCTAATTAGTTAATTGTTACTTTCAAATTTATGTGCCGGATATGCGCACCTCAATCTCCATACTTGGTATGGTATTCGCGCTTCTTCTCTTTTCCTTCTTCATTACTTCAGGTTGCTTTGGTTGCCGCATGGCTTCAGCCTTCTTGTTTTCTTTCAACGTTCTCGTTTTCTCTTTTCTTATTTCTGCTTTGCTCTTCTTAGTGCTTTTGCCGTCTTTGACATTACATGCTGGCATTTTAGGGATAAAAGGTATCATCCCTGCTTTCTTCTTTTCAGCTCACCTGTTCTCGCCTTCTTTCTCATTGAGTCCTCCACCATCTTTTTTAGAGCTGCTTGTACAAGCGTCGTCCTGGCTTTAGTTTTGTTACCATAACTTCTAGTAGTTGATGATGATGAATGATCCAATTTTGATTGCCCAGCTCTGATTCTGGGTGTTTTACCAGGCAACGTTGCTCTCTTGTCTTTGCTACTTTTCTTTGAAGCGCTTTGAACTGATATGAGAGTCGATGGACCTGATGTGAGCGTCGTTGTCGTATCTTCGCTCTAGAATCAAAGGATGGTGCAGCAGAAACAAAATTTTGGCGCAGTAGCTACAATACCGCTCGTAACTGTGAACTTGGCGGCGGTGACTTAACTCAGGCGGCCGCCGAAGTTCGGCGGCTATCACTGAAGTCAGACGGCAAGCGAAGTTAGGCGACAATCTTAGGCGATGGCGCCTAACTGCTTCAGTTCGTCAAAATCCGGCTTATCTCGATTTAAAGCTTAGGAATTCGAATCCGGGAGTGCCATTTGCAGCTCGATGAGGCGCATCTTCCAGTGTATAGATGTGTCATAGTCTGTGAGGATACAGTAGGTATATGTTAGTTTTCACAAATCATATTTTGTATGGATGGATTACTCAGTTGGCTGATAACATATACATCGATTTTCCATTGGTGGCACTTCGTATGTATAATGTAGGAGTAAGTAAAAAGTCGCTTCGCACCGATCTGTTTGAAATCCCTCTCAGAACGCCTATTTGATGCGTTTAATGCAAAAATTATGTGCAGTTATTTGCTACTGTATATGTGGCCCCGTCACTGCTCGGGACAAGCGATGACAGCTTACTAGAACTCGCCAGCACCTTTTCTGATATTACAAACTGTGGAAACGTGTACTGGTAGTACCCAATACAACCAAACCAAAAAAGTGGAAAGTAAGGAAAAGTTCTAGGAAGTCAATTGCTTTTAATAGCCTACAATTCGTAAAGTGTGTGCAAAATGCATGATGGATCACAAATGAGTTGACGATACGGTCATTTGTTGCAGATGGCACATGAAGGGATACAGTCGCGCGATGTGATCATACTCGTATATATGTCTACAAGGTTGCTCCCGCACTTTTAGAGAATAACTGTTGATTTCTGTTACATCTTACCGTAGGAGGTCAATTGGTTTTGACGCATAGCAATAACGTGATTTAGCTATATTTAGTGATCGGAATCTTTTGTGTGGACGTGTTTGATGGTATGGCGCAGCGCATATTATACATAAAGAGCTATAGCGAGCTCGGTAGAGCTCGCTATAGCTCTTTATGTATAATATGCGTAGAGATGATATATGGGCACGCTACCGAGCTCTGCGGACGGGTTTTTGTAAAGGCGCAACAATCTTCTTATAGATAGAGAGTTCTCATGGGCATCATCTGATAGGGCTCTATTCCAAGTTTTTACCAACCTTACTGCCAAGAAATACTTTGGTATGAAGGCGAAAACGACTAGCCTTTGTAGAAATACACATCCACCTGAATCCTATTTACCGTAACCCCAAAGTAAGAAGCTTCTCGCAAATCAAGTGTGATTTCGTAATTAGCATCGGACAACCTTTATGGACAAGCGCAGCGCATATCATACATATCTTTCAAGAAAATCGAGTAATTTTGTTTCCCGTTCTTAGCTCTCGAGCTCACCGCGAGTTTTGACTGAAGTATAAATAATCTTGGATTAACTCAAAACTGTGACGGGGACGAGTAGTGTAGTGGTATGAGGCGCCGCTATGGCTGACCGATCGGACACAGGTTCGATCCCCGCTCCTGGGCCAACCAAGCCCTCTACCCTCCGGGGCCGGTAAGTTGGTACCAGAGTAACCTGGGAGGATAAAAGCACTGACTTGGAAACGGCTGGACCTCGCAAGTCACTGTGATAGGCTGCACATAATACAATTGCCTCTTCGACTATGAAGTACAGTCGAGTAGATTTCCTGCTTAATATAGTGTCCCTGCAGACGCGACAACGCTGGGGCGTCAATAATTGCCTGACGGGTTCCCGAGATAGTGTTTTCCAGTGATTTCTTTGCTTATTTTATGCTTTTTAGGTGATTCATTGCTGATAAAGAAGAAAAGGGTAAGTTAGAGAGTACTTTCTGTTTTCTGAGAAGTTCTATCATCGCATATTCACAGATATCCAAGTGGAAGCAGTTCGCGTCAGCTTCTTGTTATTTTTTTTTGTCACTGCATGTCTCTTTCTTCTTGTGAGGTACTTCTTCGAACGCTAGTGGGTTTTTACGATTGACTTATTGTCTTTATCACATGAAGTACTTGATTAAAATGCTAGTTCTTATGAATGAAAGCCGAAATTGCTGCAAGACAAGCCAACTAGCGTTCAAAGAAACGCCTCACAAGAAGGAGGAGCTAAGAAGAAGTGACAGAAGAAAAGGAAATGACAAAAAAAACAGACAAGAAGCTGACGCAAAATGCCTCCACGTGGATATCTGTGAAGATGATAGAACTTCTCAGAAAACAGAAACTACTCTTTAACTTACCCTTTCCTCTTTATTAGCAACGAGTCAACTGAAAAGCATGAAATAAGCGAAGAAAACACTGGAAAACACTAACTCGGGAACTCGCAAGGCATTTATTGACGCCCCGGCGTTGTCGCGTCTGCAGGGACACTATATTAAACAGGAAATCTACTCGACTGTATGTAGTGTGCGTTCGGTGCATGTGCAGAGAGTATTGAAGACGCCGAATTCTTTATCCTACAATAACTCAAAACTTCGCTCATAGAGCTTTTCGGACCCATTGTTTGAGAAAATTTTAGTATTTTTACACTAAAGACTTTTACAGTAAATTTATACTGAGAAAGATGAGGTTAAACCTCATAAGGTGGCAACATCGCATGCACATTTTGCCATCTGTTGATGAACCTGTTTGTATATATTTGAAGATTAGATTCTCTGTCAGCAGCGCTATCGGATCATTCTTGAACAAGGCCTCTTTTTGCACTGCTTACCAGGTTATGAGCTTATAAACTCACGTTCTCTCGAGCTCAAGTGTGGATTTCAACGAACTTTCATCAAAAGCGCGTGTGCAACACGAATAAAATAATACCACGAGAAAAAATGACGAGGTCTTACCAAAACACGCACTCCTTAAAATTTGAACAAAATGTTTGAGAACGCGAGTGTATAAGCCCATAACCTGGTGAGCAGTGCAAAAAGAGTCCTTTTTCAAGAATGATCCGATAGCGCTGCTCACAAAGAATCTAATCTTCAAATATATGCAAACAGGGTCATCAACAGATGGGCAAAATATGCAGGCGAGGTTGCCACCTTATGAGGTTTAACCTCATCTTTCTCAGTATAAATTTACTGTAAAAGTATTTAGAGTGAAAATACTAAAAGTTTCTTAAACAGTGGGTCCGATCTATGAGCGAAGTTTTGAGTTATTATAACGAGTATGACCACATCGTGCGACTGTATCCCTTCATGTGCCATCTGCAACAAATGACCGTATCGTCAACTCATTTGTGATCCATCATGCATTTTGCACACACTTTACGAATTGTAGGCTAATAAAAGCAATTGACTTCCTAGAACTTTTCCTTAATTTCCACTTTTTTGGTTTGGTTGTATTGGGTACTACTAGTACACGTTTCCACAGTTTGTAATATCAGAAAAGGTGCTGGCGAGTTCTAGTAAGCTGTCATCGCTTGTCCCGAGCAGTGACGGGGCCACATATACAGTAGCAAATAACTGCACATAATTCTTGCATTAAACGCATCAAATAGGCGTTCTGAGAAGGATTTCAAACAGATCGGTGCGAAGCGACTTTTTACTTACTCCTACATTATTCATACCAACTGCCACCAATAGCAAATCGGTGTATATGTTATCAGCCAACTGAGTAATCCATCCGTACAAAATATGATTTGTGAAAACTAACATATACCTACCGTATCCTCATAGACTATGACACATATATACACTGGAAGATGCGCCTCGCCGAGCTTAGTACTCCCGGATTCAGAACTCATAAGCTTCAAATCGGAATAAATCTGATTCCGAAGAAATGGAGAAGTTAGGCGGCGGCCGCCGCCTGAGTTAAGCGGTCGCCGCCAATTCTTTCACAGGTTACGAGCGGTATTGTAGGACAGGCATACACCTACAAACTCCCTCAGCTCTTTCCTCGTTTTGATCTAGGATGATTTCTTCCCATACTCTCGCGAGAAGAGGACGTGAGGAGTTTTTGAGTATTTCAAAGGCAGAGTCCATGCAAATTTGAATACAGATCGCACGTTGAAAATGACCTCGAAAGGCCTATACAAGACGCTGCTCCAGCGGCTGCGCAAATGGTGCACTTACGGCTAGAAAATCATCTCTAAAGCAACTTTACATTTGACGTAAGAATCGCATAAGTTTGCATGCTAGCGTGGACGACGCACGGTCTACGAGTTAGGTTTCCGCGCAAAAGCATGCAGACCTACAGGGCTCCTAAATTGCAGTCGTTTGCACCAGCGGTCGCGCCCGGACATCAATGGCGCCGCCTCGATCGATGGTGCCGGCGCCGGCAAAGTGCCCGGGCGCGACGCGGTCGCGCGACCGCTGGTGCAAACGACTCTGCAATTTAGGAGCCCTGTATGCAAGATGCCAATGCGATAGCGAGTAAGGGGCATGGACACTGCCTCCAAAAAAGGTCCAGGAAATCTGGCACGTCGGAATTTCACGTAGAAACTGTTGTTGGGCATTAACTGGCAATGCATTCTCACCTCTTCCGAGACATTTTCGTCGGAGTCTTCTTGCTTATTCATGTCTAAATAAAAACAGTGCAAGTCCTTTTCTATTCAGTGGGTTGAAAGGAACAATCGCCCCCCAAAGTGGCCTGCATCTTACAATCGACCCGGACTTCGCGGGTGGAGGACATTAGGTCGCCGAATTTGAAAGAGTCCCGCGCGGATTCCCTGCAGGAACGCATGCCCGCGCATGTATAAGGGTGCGTATTTGTCGCAAATGACCGCGGGGACCGCCCTTTTTCGGCGACCTAATGTCCTCCACCCGGACTTCGCCAGCCTAAAGGGCCGGGCATACTTCACGCGATTCAGTCGCTACGCGATTTGGCAATATTCCAACTGTTTATAAGTCACTATAAGCGCATTATAGATGCACAGAAGATAAGGCATTCAATCCATTCAGGTATGTTATACATACTATGCATGTGCAGTTTGCTAGTATTGGATCTGAACATCGGCGAGTTGCCAAATCGCGTCGCGACCGAAATCGTGTGAAGTATGCCCGGCCCTTGAGGCTTCGGACAGAGTTCACGCGATATCGTCGTGATTCAATTGCTACAAGACAACTGTTACGAATTCACTGCATGCCGATAAGCATGCATTTCGGTTGTGTTACTATTTTTGAATGTATGAATGAAAATCGCGACGATCAAATCGCGTGAACTCTGTCCGAGGCCTAAGGCCTAGCGCATACCTTATGCGATTTCAGGCTGCGTTTACTGATTGAAGTTCGAGAACAGTCCAGCACAGCGTTCGAACTGAGCGTTGAGCTGGAACTGTTCTCGGACTTCGGGCTCAGATGAACGCAGCCTCAGTCGCCGCGCACAATTTGCCACTGAAACGACTGTTCATAACTGCTCATAAACGCGCTTTGCTTGGGCCAAATTTTATGCTGTGCAACAACTCACAAAGCTGCGTGCCTATGCATTTGAGACTCGCGCACGGTGAGTCTGTAGACGTCTGGCAATGAACCAAGTCGCGTTGATGTAGCAATGCTTCGGAAAGTTGGGAGAGTTGCGCCACGGTCGGAGGACCCCTTCCAACGAGGGAGAAATCGATAAGTACGTATATTACATAGACAAAAACTTATGGTCCGACCACGACTCTGCGTCTTAACCTCGGCGGCAGGCGTCCAAATTCAAGATTTGGGGTTTCTGGAGTAGGCCGTTTGATATTTTCGTAGTCTGCAACCTGCATTTTTGAAATCAGCAGCCAGGTGCGAAAAAATTTTGTTCGACCCAACGCTGCCTCTAAGAAGCGAATACCATGGATGCTGCTCTAACATGATTACAAGGCACAAGTTCCTAAACAATCTGTGACAATCTTGTATATAAGAGCCAGGACTCCGCACTAGTACCTTCGTCATTGAAATTGCGTTTATTTAGTCTCACGAAGTATGGTTGGAACCGAATATTTTCGAACATTCGTGTTCAAGTGGAATCTTCGAACTAGATTAGCCGAAATCCAGAATAGTGCATTTATTTGATCGAATACTTCGAATATTCATTCAACGAATTGATAAACTTATCAAATATTCGAAATTCCATTCAAATAAGTTATTTTTTCGATTTGTTAAATGAACAAATATTCGAATAAAGGTCTTTCTCATTCACTCGATTACCATGTTTCGTATTACAAAAAGGCCTATCACGCGCGAAAGTGAAGTTTTTGAAATCAGCGTTTCGCCCCACCCCATCCAAATTAAGTTTCATCCAAATGTGTGACAACTTGTACTTTTGACACCCTCCCCTCCCTCCTATTAATCTCCTCTGCATGCCCAGCTGTTGCTTGCCGAATTCTCCATGCCTCCACATCATGGTAGAATTTTGCAAGTACAGTTAAATTTGTAGCGTTACCAGATCTATTTAATGGCAAGGAATGGAGCGACGTAATCGAACAGAAAAAAGTTTTGGAGTGTTTTGAGGGTTCTGGTTCTGTTCAAAAGTGGTGCGATTGTAGTTGGCGGTGGTAGTGTCAAAGTTGGTCCACGTGCTGCATACAAGCCATTAGTCAAATATCTCATTTATGTTGAAGCATATCAATCTTTTAGCATCTCCTACGGCAAGCGCACTTGTGAGACAAACTGCAAACGTAAAATGTTCTTACGCTTGTTTTTGGCACCAAAAAGACCTCCAGTTAAACCTGCGACTTTTGTTCCATGCTCTCTCAGACAGTTGCACCGGAAAGTTTGCGACCTCAAAGCGTGTTAAATAGCGCGCCGCGGCCTTCAGAATCTTTGCCTGGTGAGCCGTGGTTTTTAGAACTTCAGCCTGGAACGCCGCGGCCCATGCTTCTTTCACCGGGTGCGACGCGGTCAAAGTTGAAGTTGAGAACAGAGAATCGTGAGGGTCGCGGCCCAACCAGATCACCCGGCAAACTGTGGGTCTTATTAGAGGACGTTCTAACACGGTAGGCGCAGGCGTAACCCACATGAGGTAAGCCGCAACAGTGAGCTATCCTAAGTGTTTATGAAATGGGGTATCACTTATTGGACTATAATGTCTGATAGAGTTGAGCTTCTGTGCCTATGGAAGAACAATAGACAGATGAATGTTATCGAGCTGAGATGATGTCGGCATATTACAAGCAGGTGGATTGAACTACACTCAAGTTGGGTCGGACATCATTATGGAAGACAGCCCAAAAAGTTCGGTTCTTCCTAAGTCTCATAAGCATGCTAATCAGGCCAACTATAGGCGCTTAAAGGGAGCGCAGACTATGCGTTACAAAACCAGCACCCTTAGCGCTTTATAGAATAGAAACCGGGACTCCCAATGGACGTCAACCCGAGATGGAAAATGGCAACATAGACGACTACTGGCTATGGTAAAAAAGAAAATAAAAAGGGCTTTAGTGAGCGTGCGACGATATAGCGTATATTGCAGTCAGCGGGTAACCTTTGTGATCTCCAGTGAGGAAGAGGTCAATTACAGACACGGCCCTGCACAGATCGTCTGGAAGCAGGCTGAAATTCGTTTTCGGAACGAAAAAGCAAAGAGGATACCGTTTCTGTTAGTTCACAAAACAAATCACAAGTGAGTTAGGTTTCTTAGTCGACACGATAAAGGGGCTTCGTAAAGTTTTGCGAGAGTAAAGGGAGACTTCGTTCTTGGAAAGCCTAGAAACGAACTCATGCCGGGCCCAGATCGCAGAGCGCTTCACGGAGACGATGGCGGGGCAGCGAATGCAAGCGGCACCGATCGGGAAGCTGTGGCGAGGCAAGTGCAGGTTTTTTCTGAGCGATCTGGAAAGTGCTGTGAATGTGCAGCAATAAATTATTGTGCGATACTCATATTGCTCTCTCAGGTTTTACCGACCGTTTGAGACCTTATTGATCCTCTGCACTTAGCTTATGCGGCAAATCAAACGCGGAAAATTTTGGACTTCAAATACACATTTTTCTATGTGCTCGCCAATAGGGTCCTAATGTCTTGTCAGGCACTCTATCTCTTCGTTACGTCCTCTGCTGCTTCATTCTTATCTTCGCAACGTAACAACTCATTTTCTTTCATAGTGCATACAGTGCAAAGCGACTACGCTTCCAGAGAGGTAAGAACCCGGGAAACAACGCAAAGGCTACCCAGCTCGACAAATGCAAGTAAACGCTTTGTAAATAAGTCTAATCGTCATTCAGCACATATACATAGTTTATCTGAATACATAAGATGCGTAGATCTGTAGTATGATTGAAGTGCAACAAGCTTACGAGGAGAGACGGTCTTTTCGACGGGCTTCCAGTGCCATTTTGATGACTGTCCCAATCATGCCCGCGGCAATCTTCCTCCCCTCTGCTTTGCCTAGGCAAAGCCACCGCAGTGTGTGTCGCGCGCTGAGTCGGGTGTGGAAGTTCATTGCGCGGATCGTCAAACACTCGCTTATGGATTTTCTGACTAGCACATTTTAATGTTGGGTATGCAATTCTACTGACTATTTAGTTCAAACTGTGCCATTCTACATCCACTTGCTGCCTCAGGTGGGTTCTATCTTCATTTTAACAAAAATTGGCGCATTAAACGTTGTTCTTTTTCTACCTTGTCTTTTTCTACCTTAAACGTTGCCTTTGTCTGCCCGTACGACACGCCATGGAGACTGCCTTATGCTCTGCACCTACAACGCCAGGACAGTCTCCACAAACGCCGATCACCACGCTCTTCTCGACGCTGCAGAGCACATCAAGTACCACGTCATCGCTTTGCAGGAAACGAAGTCCAGGAAGAAGGACGTGCGAAAATGAGTGATGGGACCCTCATCATTCATGGTGAGAAGATTCCATCACGAAATGTTGGAGGCCTTGGCGTCCATCTAACTATCGTCCATCTTGTCTCGCATGAGATCCTACCACCTCGACCACCTCCATCCTACAACTACGACCTCCACGCCAGACCATCACCATCACCAACTTCTACTCTCCAACATAAGTAGCTGATGAATCACAACTAGATGCTTTCTACGAAGATGTGGAGGAGGTCGTCCGCAACGAGAAATTCTTTTAGAAGTCTGTTATGGATGACTTCAACGCGAAAGGATGCCAGAAGTTATATTGCCGGTGGACATGATCGCCCAACGGAACAACTCACGCGGAGATCGACCACATTCTCACCAACTGAAGGTAGAGCTTGCTCGATGTCTCAATAGTTCCACCATTCTGCAGTGGCTCCGACCACCGTCTCCTTTGAGCGAAGGTACGATTCACGGAAACCGGAAAAGGTTTGCCGCAGTACTGTAAGAAGAAAGAGTGTCGTTTATGACAGTAACAGGCTGGAAGACCCCATATTATTGTGACTGGCCCATCGAGGAGGACCCAACCTACGACTACGATCGGCTTCTGAAAGGATTGCGAGCCTGCGGGAGTGCGCTTCAGTGCTTCCGAAAAGAACTTGGAACGCATTTCGAAGGCCATCAAGAAATTGCTCGAAAGAAGAAGATTTCTGAGGCAGGATCCGAACGCAACCTATCCCGAGCGACTGATAACCAACACCGGTTCCAGAAGCAGGAGGATCTCAGGAAGTATAGGCAAGCCAAGATACTAGAAGCAGCCGAAGGAAGACGAAGTCTTAAGAAGCGCCGAAGAAACCTCTGTGAATATCACGTACCGCTGGCTGCATTATTGAGCGAAGACGGAGCCAGACTTCTTCCCGATAAAAGATGGAATTTCTACACCAACCTCTTCCACTCATTAACATTAGTGCCGATGCCCGCTATTCCCACCGGAGAAATAAATTACGAATCCACCTGCTGAAGTGCACACGGCAACTCAGGGGCGGTATTTATCAATTTCCCACTCGCTGTTCGAGCCATTATTAACGAGTACCCGGACAGGCGAAACCGCCATCCCAAAATTTATGAAGGTTTCGGACGCGTGGCCCAAACGGGCAGCAGAGCCGGACCTGTCGAGCTCGGGCACGATTGGGCATTTGCCGTGCCCGACATGGCCAAACTCGCCAGATCGGACCATATCTTCAAACAGACAGAAGCCAGATCACCAGCTTGGCTTCGTGTATCGCGGGGGCCGTGCCCACACCTATACGGGCTGTGACCTATACAGGAATCCCTCCCATTTAGGAGATTGATAAATGCCGTCCCAGACCATAAAAACTCCACGGCTTTAGGACCAGACCATCTTTTCGTCGAATTTCTGCGAGAAGGAGGAAATGTCTACACAAGATTCTCGCGGTCAGATATCTTACCTTCATAAGAAGAGGATTCCTGACCAGTGAAGAACGTCAAAAAAACCTACCTTCATTTCAAGAAGGGTGAACGGGAGGACCTTCGAAACTACTGTCCAATATCCTGCTGAGTGTGCTGTACAAGCTTTTCAAGAAGATTATCCTCACACGCATATGTAGGATACTGGATGAAGCCCAACACCAAGAATTAGCTGGATTTCGCAAAGGATTCAGCTGCATGGACCACATCCAGACGGTTTCGAGGGTCATAGAAGTCTGTCGGGAGTGCCGAAAGCCTCTCGTCCTAACTTTGTCGACTGCGAGAAAGCCTACCAGTGTCGAGACCATCTTGTCAGCGGTAGTTGATCAAGGATTGGACCCAGCTTACGTGAGGACGTTAGCTGACTGCTTCAAAGACTGTACAACGACGATGCAGCTGTTCCATCGCCCCTGACCATCCCAATTGGGATGTGCTCGACAAAACGACACAATATTGCCGAAGCTCTTCACCGCGGCCTTGCCGCGGGTGATGAAGTACTGGGACGAGAGAAGCATACGAGTTGATGGGAGATTCCAGTCGACTTCGTTTTGCAGACGACATCGTTCTCTTCTCCAGCAGTATCACTAAAACAGAGACAATGCTGAAGGAACTGAAAGAAGAGTAGGGAAGAAGATCGAATTGGAACAAATTGGAAGAAGGCTCAGTTCATGAAGAAGCCCTTTGCGAAGATGCAGAAATGGAGTTGGAAGGCAATCCTATCATGAAGGCTTCTTCTTATGTGTATCTCGGACGTTCGATGTACATGGAGAACGATTTGAGGGAAGAACTTAACAGGTGAAGGTGAGCAGCCTAGGCCGCCTTCGGGCCTCTGTAATAAGCCACCGACCAACTGATGGACTCGGACCTTCGTGTCCAACTGTTTAACTCAAGTTCTTTCAGCGCTATGTTGCGCAGCTAAAACTTGGGCTGACACCCAGCCACATCGAAAGCTCTAGGAGCCACCCACAGGGCGCTGGAGCGCAGTTTTCTGAAAATGACCCGACACAAGCAACATCTAGTCGGACTTCGCAGTACGGATATGAGAAGAATGTCCCGTCTTCGTGACCCAGCGGAATACGTTGAAAGCAAAACACCGATGGGCCGGTCACATTATGGGAAGAGCAGACGACAGATGGACACTAAGAACATCAGAGTGGATTCCTCGCAAAACGTACCCGAGGAAAACCTCCAACGAGTTGTGCAAATGCGTTCGTGGAACGGATGGACTAGCTGAGAAATCACCTAGATACGATTTTCGCACCTGGAACTTTGGACGCAGCCACCGAGAGAAGGTCGTGGATGAAGCAACGAACAAGGATAAGTGAAAACCTTTGCTAGGGTCCATAGGTTACGTGAGTCGGGCCATTCAAGTATCGATGTAAGTATCTTCTTTTCTACCAACTCTCTTTTTTCGAAACCATTGCTCCTCGTCTTCTATCATTGCGTGAGCATACTGAGATTGTCCTCGTGTAACGTAAGCATAAGAAGCATATAGATAAGCTTAGATGAAGGGACGATTTCCGCGCTTTTTTGTCCCCGGCGTACAAGAGCATATAAAAAGACGTGCAAGAGTTTCTTCCTTTATACGATGAAGCTAAGGCTATTCCACGCGGATTTACAAAGCAACCACTACAAAAAAGGGAATGCGCCGTTGACATGAATGACAAAAAGATATGGAGTCGCTCTACTTTCTGTACTATGCAAGTGTCTGATCAAATTGATTAATTTGGTATGCAGAACCTACTTGATTTTACATAATGACTTGGCTCTTGCGTTCGTTCCATCTATAATGAAAACTCGAACAAGTCGTTTAAATACTCAGAAAGCGATTACTTTTGACACTGGTGCTGGCTTAGATTTAACGGCGGACTGTGGAGATTGCTGAGCTCCAGCTGAAGGTTTGACAGGCGCAGAATAGAGACCACCCATAACTAAACTTTACTCCGACGTTGTAGCAAAGCATGGCATACGCTGATACCGCTTGACAGAAACGGGTTAGATTTAAATGATAACATCATTTACAGTGTGCCACCGTGTTCCCAGAAACACTATAATTAAGTACCCACTGAAGAGGACCCAGCACGTGGGCGTTGGTCCGCACGCGATGGCAAGCAACCCGAGGCAAGTCGTCCCCAAATACGGTATCGGGGTTTGGGGGCAATTATCTCAGCCACATGTGCACCATCCGCGCTGCCCTTGGGCAATGTCTTAGTTAGACCTCCAAGACCAATTTGCAGGCGCGGTCCCATTAATGTGCCCAGACCTGCCTGGACGCTGCCTTTCAGCAAACGAGTACACCTACTCCAGCGCACGACCCGCCCTTGGGTCGCATTGTCCGAAATGGTAGTCTTCGAAAAAGAATTTAAAACATGTCTCCGAGAACTTCAAAGTGGTTTTGGCGTTATTTTACGTGCTGATCATGAGTGTAGTGTCCACTTTGTTCAATACTGTCCCATAGTGGGGCTGCGGTAGCAGTACTGTAAAGTTTACGTGAAAATCAAAAAACTAGTGTAAGAAGGTGGTATTAGATTCTGAGACTATCATACTCGTAATCAGCATGCTACAAAACCTATATATGTAAGATTTGAGATTCCTGGGATGAACAATGCAAAAAATCAATAAAATTAATAAAATCTTGGTTTTTGGTGGGCAAACATCAGTCCTTTGCCTGAACCAAATTTCTCGTAAACAGTATCCCAAGCCTGGACCCCTCTTAAAGGCAGTGTCCCGGCAGATTCGGGTCCTGGGGGATATATGTGTGGTGGGGTTCCTAGTCACCCCATTGACCTCCAGGCGCACTCCGGCTGGGTGATGTTCCCCCTGGGCCGAGAAAATGGCCCTTGAACCGGCGCACGCAACCCCAACTGGCGCGCGCTTGGACGGCCTTCCCCGCTTGTTCGGCGCGGGACCCCACGAGCGCTCTCCTCCATGATGCATGCTATCCAAAGCAAGAATTACAGGCGGCAGGATCTTCGTCTGAGGACCTCCCCCACCTTTCCATTAAAAATCTCGTCCAAGCTGCTTTTCTTGAATTAGGAAAACGCCCCAAAATCGGTCTTTTCAGCCCGTTCAAAGCTCAAATTCGGATTCTACGTGGCGAAAAGGCCTAAAACATGCAAAAAGGTGGAGGTGCAAAATCTGCCGGGACACTGCCTTTAATGGAGCTTCGCCCCTACCATGCGCCAGAACTCCGCAGAATTCCATCGTAAAGTGATAGAGCTTCGGAAATGCTACGACCCACCGATGGGTCGTACTGTCGTGAAAGTCTTAAATGGGCTTAATCCCACCTAATTTAAAAAGTTAATAACGTTGTCTGTTCACATAAGTTCATAATTTTCACTTTGTTCCTTAGTCAAACTGTATACAACCCTAAGGCCATATCGTTGCTGTGCGTAGCAAGCGATCCATTTCTTCATTTCTCCGGGATTTTTGAGCAATAGCTTACCGCGCCTTTAGATCACGTAACATCTCACCACCTTTTCTTATCTTGTTCCTTCTAGCTTTCCTAATTTTATGCTCGACCCTGATCATGATCCAAAGGCCACTGTCACTGGGAAACGGTCAAGAGGCGCGATTTTTCTGGCTGTCACCAACTCCGAACTCAAGTTTAATGCTACGCGAGTCTTCAAAAAGCATCAGACAAGCTGCACTGGCTCACTAGCTATTTTAAGTACCACTTGCTGCGTTCAACAACTTTTGCCAAAAGTCTGACCAAAACAATTGCGAATTTATTCCTTTTACTTTCAGCACTTCCATTTTGAATAGATTTAGAAGCGTAAGATTCAACAACTACTTTGACTATCTAATACTCATCTGAATTCTAAGATATTTTCAGAACGTCATAAAACTCGAAAATGTGCTATTTGATTTCAGCTGGCAATAAAAATCGCGCCTCTTGACGTACACCCACTGTCACTGAGGTATTGTTGGCACTTTTCCGTTATCCGGACCCATTTTTTCAAAGAAGGATATTGCTTTTTTTTTCTTGTACCACATTTGGTCCCAAATTCACGGGAAGGAGTCTCAACCTTCTGCCACGTGTCAAAAAAAATTTGACATGTCACCTACATGTTTAACAGGTTTTACCAAGATTTTGTTTTGCACTACCTAGCGACATAAATACAATCTGTATCAAATCAATAATGGCCCCATTTTCAAATAGAGGATTTCAGAAATGAACACTGTTATAATAATAACGTCACCCTGCTAACACTGAAAAGATTAGATTTGCACAGAACGGAGAAGTGTGCTAGGATTCCATTATCCAAGCGGCGAAACAAGCAGCAACGAAATACCGCAAGTCATCATTTATAGTCTCTCCTGACTAAGCATGGCGGAAAGTTTGAAGAGGAGGACAAGTTTGAGTGATTGCTGGAAGGATGTTCTGCTATACTAGGACGTAAACTAGGATGTTCTGCTATTAGTTTTAGACAGTTTTGCTTCTATCGAAAACAGTTGAAAGGCCTTTAAGAGGTCACAAACGCTTTTTCAACTTACCGGAAATGTTCTCGAAAAAACAAGTCAAAATGGGCTAAAACGTGTCAAATATTTCCTGACACGTGGCGGGGAGGCAGTCTTCGTAGAATCTACTAAAAACTGTTCTTAGACGAAAGAACGTATGTTGTGAGAGCCTTTTGAAAAAATGGGTCCGGATAACGGAAAAGTACCGTATTTTCTAGAGATACGTATATTGCATTAACTAAAATTTTTTAATCAACACAATCTATAAGTTTTGCGTAGCTTGTCAATTAAAACTCGGACTTTTTGACAGACAGCTCCATCTCTCGCGAAGCAACAAAGAGGAAGAAGCTGTTTATTGTAGTAGGCATTTCCGCAGTCGTGAGGTCGAACCGTGAGTGCTTAATCTCTCGACTAAAGCGCCTCTTACTTATGTACACAGCTGACCATCAAATACAGTACTCTCTTTACTTCTTATGAGTCTGCACTGTCGAAACTGACCGCTTAACGCTATGCCTACGCGGAATAACCAAATAACCACTTCTAAATTAGGGTATACAAGTTGGTCAGTACAGTGGCCAAATATATCCTCATTCTTAGTCCATCAAAGTGGTGAGTGGTTCAACTGACTGGATCCCACGTTTTTACAGCAGTGAATACCAGAGGAAGGAGGTAACCAACGCGAATTTTGCAAGCTACGGTCCTTCACGGATTCACGTGTCCCGAGTACACTTTTCGCAATTTCGCGGTCTGACAATTTGCTGCATTTCTTCAAATCCATCAATGACAGTCTTTGAAGGTGTAGCGTGTTTGACTTCCGTAGATAGCCTATGCCTTATCTTCTGTATAATCAAACTGCGCATAAATAAATTAAAAATAATTGGAACATTGCCAAATCGCGCCACCCAAATCGCATAAAGTATGCCTGCGGCTTGAACAGAAGATAAGCGTGCTCCAGCGTCGCGAGGTAACGATACTGCAGCATGGTTATTTAGGATTGATGCAAGATTAATGCATGTTTTTCTCACCTCTTCTTTCAGCACTAATTTTACATTCAGGACTCTTGAAACGGGATTTCCAAAAGAAAAACGTGATTCAAAGAGCCGCAAATTACTATCGCGAACTTGGCTAACCGTTGAGCCTTGGGCATACCTCTCGCGATTTCAGTCGCCACGCGATTGGCCGTTTGCCAGATCTCTTCAAACTATATTCGAGACCACAAATGCCTTGGTCTATTCAACTTTTGTGAGTTGATAAAGTGTATTGTTTTCATGTGCGCAAATGAGATTGCGACAGTTATAAGCAACTGGAGTATTGCCAAGTCGCGTTGCGACCGAAATCGCATGAAACATGCCCTGGATTAAGGGCCATCCTGTGCCGTATAAAAATTTTGAGCGATCAGCGATTGCTGAATTTTTATACTATGTAGCAAGAGTAGACCTAGCACATGCAGGATAGGAAAACTGTAAGGTTTTCTCCCTTTCCAGTACAAAAACTGAAATTTTTCAAAAACGCAGTTTTTTGCTGCCCGCCAAAATACCAGAAAAGGTGGTTACTTTTGACTTTTTCAAAATATCTCCCCCAAAAAAATTTCCAAGACTCAGAGCCATAACGAGAACAATGTGGACCATCCACAAAGATTTCGTAGTTATGCTGTCTTAAAGTAGAGCTTTCATAAAACGCTTTTTGCCTTGAGCCTACAAAATATGCCCTGTAACAGCTCCAATCATGCAAAAGAATATGTTGCATAGCTAAAGGTCTGCTTTCGTAGCAGCCTTAGTGCTCAGAAAATATTTTCGGGAACGATTTATGTCGACTACAATTTGGATCATAAACGTGCGTTGATTTTGCATCAACCTAACTTGCAGTAGTCTTACAAAGAAATAGTCAAGAGTCAAAAGCTGACTAATCCAGAGCAGCTGTATACCATGATGCAACATGTCTTCCTTATCTGCTTATCTTTCGGACGAAGTTATAAGCCTTTATGAGATATTATGTTGCTAAGAAATCATGCGTGCAAAGTCCAATTTTGGTCGTGCAGAGCCATGTCCCACCAAGTGATGGGCCAAGACATGCGAGGTCGCTACATTTAGTCTGACTCAATCGTGGGCTAATCGGGCAATAATGTGCTTATTTTTGCAATTTTTATTTGCAATTTTTTCGCATTAAAACGGCTCATAACTTCGTCCACAAAAGCGATAAGCAGATAGCGAAGGTAGATCTAAACTTCAACGTTTCATGCTGCATCCAATGGCATGCAACTTGTTTGGATTGGTCACCTCGATTTCTGACCATTCCCTTCTTAGTCAACATTTGGAAGGGAAAACCCTTTGTTAACAATGGGAATATTCGAAAGTATTCACAAAATTTTTTTAAGAATGATATTTAGTGTCGCATGCTCTGCTCTTATCGACGCTTTCCGCAATGTGCCTCATCATGGATGAATCTTTGCCAATTCAGGTGACGTTTTCATGCCCAACCTCCCTCTTCATTATTCTCGAGTCTTTTGTCAAATAATTTACACTCCACTTGAAAAAACGAAAGTTCCTTGCAGCACCTCAATCCCTAATTGTGTGGAAACATTCTATCGAAAAGATCTCATCATCAAGCAAGCCCCACCAAATTCAAGAAAGCCTCTACCGAAACAAGTACCCCTAGTCACTGCTCTAAGCTGCTCTGAACGTCAAATGTGTTCATTGAAGGATGAACCACTTGGTTTCGTAAAGGTGTACACCGACCACATGTTGGAGGTCGATTATGATGAGGAGAAAGGCTGGACAAAACCGATTATTCATCCCTACTGCAACTTCTCACTGGATCCAGCATGCAGTGTTTGTTGTACTTCAGTGGCTAAAAAATCATATATTAATTTGACAAGCATATTAGAACCCGGTGCGAACATTTTTAGGTTTTTCACTATGCCACTGAGTTATTCGAAGGCATGAAGGCTTATCGTGGTGACGACAACCATATTAGGTTGTTCCGTCCGCACCTCAACATGGCTCGGATGAGGAAAACAGCAGAGCGAAGCGCATTCCCAGATTTTGATGAAAACGAGTTGCTGGAATGCATTAAAGAATGGGTAAGCCATTGTCAGGTGCAAGCCTGGTAACGTTATGTGCTCTGCCCAAAGGCAGTATTCACGCAAACTTGTTTCTTTGGGGTGTAGGTTGCGTTAATGTTTTCTCAAATAACTCAGTGCAGAAAACTTATGCTCGTATGTAACAGAAAAACAGAAAACGTGTGCGTGACAGAGAATCCACACGCTTTTGTCCGCGAGAGTTAAAAAACGTTCTGTATAGATATTAGGCAAAACGGACCGCTGTAGAGCGAGAATGACTTCTTGCGGGCTCGTCATCTTGGTATGGTAATGGGACAAGGAAAGTACTTTTGAAAAATGTGTCGAATTAAATGTATAACGCGATATTCGTCTCAAGAGTTAACGTTCAATCAATGTTCTGTTATCTGCGGATCGGTCCTTTCAAAACTACAGGCTCTATTTCCACGAAACTTCTACACATAAAATATACCGCATTTATTAACTAGAGCAGGCATAACTAACGATACAAACCTTTTTATCTAAGAAAAAAACTCTAGGATGATGGTAATGGTCACCCTTTCTGATTCAGTAGCGATTTTAGTACCACGAGCCTCAGAACTTTCTCATTGAATTTCCATATCTAAAAGCTTTGAAGTGCTCTTTAACTCTACTAGTCTGCTCGGAATACTGCCTCAGCCGCATGGTCGAACTTAAAAAAGATAGTTTAGTTGCGCATCGACAAAAAATGGATACCAAGTCAAAAAGGAGCTTCACTCTATATACGTCCAACAATGATTGGTACTGAGGTTTCGCTCGGTGTACATTCATCTAGTGCAGTGAAACTATTCGTCATTGGTGGGCCAGCCGGGCCTTACTTCGAGTCATTTGAGGTGAAATTACACGATAATGCGAAAAACTTTTGACGGGTATGTTCAGCCAATCACTCTACTAGCCGATCCCAGATACATTAGAGCAGCCAAAGGAGGTGTGGGTACATACAAAATGGGATGTAATTATGCACCAACGCTGAAGATAGCCGACATAGCAGAGGAGAAAGGCTGCCATCAGGTTTTATGGCTAACAGGAGATGAACAGTATGTAAGTTTGTTTCCATATAATAGCAACAGCAACAACTTGCTACTTTTTTACAACGAATAATGAACAAATACAACAGTTTTTGATGATGCATATGCAGTAAATTTTGTTTGAATCATACAATTTTTCGGAGTTACTGTTATTTGGTTGCGCGCTACATGTTTCTATCTCAGTCAATGCAATTGATAGATTGTCTACACAAGAAATAAGTAAAATCTGTATAAGCAATTTCAAACTTGGCAAACAAATTGAAGACAATAAAGAGTATCTAGAAAAACATTTCATAGAAAGCCAAACCTCATTCAAGCAAAGTAGAATTGAAAATGAGCACAATTATGTTTTTTACTTAAAATATCTCACAATCAGAAGCAGGGCCGGTGCAGAAGTCAAAGGATTCTTTTTGATTTTTCTTTTTTTCTGACAATTCAGAGGAGTATTGTATAGTATGCTGTGCAGGCGTATAATACCCAAGCATACCTCATGCGATCTCAGCCGCGACGCGATTTGGCAATACTTCAACTATTTATAACTCATCCTAAGCGCATTCTGAATAAACAAAAGATAGGATATTTTATCAATCTGCGAAATTTGTACATAATGTGAATTTGTATGTGCAGGTATTAGATTTGAAGAGACCGGGCAGACTGCCAAGACGAGTGGCGACTGAAATCGCTTGACGTATGCCCTGGGCCCAAGTGAACCAATTAGAACACATTTCAAAAACATATCCAAGTATTGTTGTGCTCCAACAGGTTTAAAAATTGTGCGTAATTTGAATATGATGCTAAAATAAACAAATGGCTTGTTTATGCCGTAAAGGCAATCCTATTACACTGAATTTGGACTATATGCATACAATATGTACATTTCCAACACTTATGTAAAAAGACTCGAGGCCTGATGTGAAGTAAAACATTTTCTCAATGCAATCGTTTTCCAAAACCACCATCACGATGTGTCATCATGGAGCGTATCTATACTACTGCGACGCTTCTGCGATTTTTTCAGTCATAAACTATGTTTCCTCTGTCATGCTATTATTGAGCAAAAGACAATTTATGTCAATGCCTCTCCTTTTCGAACTGCACAAAAGCTTGACATGATAATATTTCGCTTCCATTGCAGATGCCGCTTACTTTGAAGTTTTATTGATCTAAATTTTTGTCCTTTGCTCTCTTTCTTAATCCTCTCTCCCTCACTCTTTCACTTGCAATATGCTTCGGTTATTTCGTCTACACTTGATCATCATCGTAAGAAAGTTAAAAATCCGTTTTTGATCCAGCATTTTCCTAAGCCAAGCATTAGAAACAGTCCTTCAAAAGTAAAAAAGTAACCAGTGGCAACATTTCACCTCAGACACTACTGCTGGATAGTTTGTGAGATCTTCATAATTGTGTTGAGTCACTCTGTGATTAACAATGTAAGAATTATAACAAGGTTATTAGTTGTCTCACACTAAAATACAAAAGGGATATGTCGTAAAAATGGCATAAGTCAAAGGGAGTTTCGTTCAAGAAAACTTTGAGAGACGACGCTGCCAGCCTCTGTTTATAAGGGAAGGATACCAAAATGGGATGTATATCATTAAATGCGTCTTTGAACGCTGATTCCAAATCTGCTTTCCTTTCTCGCAGAATAGGTTTTCTTAAAAAGTTATGAGCGTTTGATCCAACAATTGAGTAGCTTAAAATCAACGAAAAGCTCTAAAACAATACCTAGGCGATTTCCACCGGCTCTGTTCCTTGCCTGCAAACAATATACTCGCTACAAAATTGATTTTCCACTTTCCCGTTTTTTGTGCAGCTTTTCGTCAATTTTAGGCCACCCAAACTTTGACAAATTTGGACATTCAAACGCTCATAACTTCTTTTGAAAACTTGTTCCGCAAAAAAGGAAAGCGGATTTGGAATCCCCGTTTGAAGCCGCGTCTACTGATGTATATCTCATCTTCAATCGCCGACTAATGTTGGTATCCTTCCCTTGTTAGAAGTTTTGAGTTTATTTTACGATTTATCCTTTGGGTAGCAAAGCGTTTGATATTTTGTACCGAATTCTCAATGCAATCATACTGGAGGAACTATAGTACAATCTCCTCAGCATAGCTACTACTTACAAAAAACACTGTGGTTGCTCGCACATGTGCCTTCTACTAGAAATCGAAAAAATTGTTCATTTCTAATCGACAACAGTGACACAATCTCCTCAACCATGATACAATCTCCTATCATCATTACTTTTATAATCTATTTGATAATGATAGTAATCATGATATCTTTATATCTCTTTGAAGGTTGTACGTTAATGTGTATAGTCGAAGTTAGCATTACCAGGGCTCGGCACGAGGTGGCTAGTTAAAAATGCAGAAAACGAAGTCCCCTTGACTTTTGCAAAATTTTACGAAGTCCCCTTTGACCATAAACCATAATCTCTGAAAAACCCCCAAAAAACGAAACGTTGACTAAAAACAAACGTCGCAGTTTTTGTGTCTTTTCGGTCTCAAAAACGAAATCCCCTTCGCGGATTTTCAGACTAAAATTCATGTTTTGGACCATAATTATTGGAAAATGAGAAAGTCGAGGTAATTTGCATATGTATGGATAAAGCGTAAAAAGCACTATTGGAAAGCAACTGTTAAGGTTGGCTTATTTGATTACCTTGATGAAAGAATAGATAGTATGTCTCCTAATACTCAATGTTACATCTCTGTTTTAAAGCCTTGGGACCACCGAGCTATGGTGGATTTGGTGACAGTCCCCTCACCCATTGTTACGCAGATTTTTTGGTAAGCTCACTTGTTCCACTGCGGCGCTGCTGCTTAAAGTTCAAAATTACTTGAAGTGAAGAGCTCTAATTTTGAGCGCTTATAAAAATAACGCCATGTGACAGTGCCCAACTATGACCTCGATCAAAAGGTTTTGTTACGTACTAACATCTGCTAAAACTGGGACTCCCAATTAGCTTTTCTATTTGAGAAGACTGCATTTATTCTCTAGGTCCCCCCTTACTTTTGGATCACCCTAATATAAAGTTATGAATTTACAACAGCAACTGAAAGGGAATAATGACATGATTATAGTATTAGTCTTCAAAATCTAATTTTTCTTCAGAATCTAACATGACTCAACACTTAGGACTCTAGAAATTAATTTCTGAGAGATGCTTTCAAGGTTACTGAAGCAGGAGCTATGAACTTCTTTGTATACTGGAGAAATGAGAAAGGCGAAAACGAACTTATTACTGCTTCGCTAGAAAGTGGTAAATAAATATTTAGAAAAATGAAGGGTGCATTCAAACAAGCAGTACTTTGACCGCTTCATGTATTTCAAAAGCTTTTCTGTCGCCAATTTTGACAGAAAGGCCGAAACCTTAATAGTGATAACCAATGAAGATCTGATGCACCCTTTTTCTACAAAAGCTATGAAAAGTTAAAAGTATCTTTATTTATTTAGGGATAATTCTCCCAGGCGTAACACGTCAATCTATACTGGAACTTGCCAAGGAAATGAGCGGTATCAAAGTGACGGAGCGCGATTATACCATGGGTGAATTACGGAAAGCTGTGAAAGAAAAGAGGGTATGAATAATCAATGCACTCATTTGTCAGCGCCGGTAACCTGGTATAAAAAGATTTTTACGTAGCACGCTCACAATGCACCCGCTAGTTCATCGCTTGCGAACATCTGGTGTCTTTGCGAACAAAATAATGCTTACAAAATTTACTATAGGTGTACGAAATGTTCGGTGCCGGAACAGCTGTCATAGTAATCCCGGTGGACACATTACTTTACGAAAACAATGGGCAATGTGAAAAGTTAAAAGTTCCTATGATAGACAGTGAAAAGTCTGTTATGCAAAAGTGCGTGTATATTAGAAGATAATACATGCCACTTTCAAATCATTTTCAGGGTGTATAAAACTATCGAAGGTATTCAATACGGAAGAATATCACGTCCTAAATGGACTGTGGAAATTTGAAACATCTGCTTCTACATTTTCAAAAATTAGACGACTCTCATGACATGCTTATAAATAAAGGGTTGTTCCACAGTGTTGTCATCAATGAATTTGCCAAAAGTATAGAATGTGAAGATTGAGATAAAAGATCAATTAACAGCGCCACAGAAAGTTAAGACCATCTTTGCTTCGGATAAAGCTAACTAACCACCCAACAACTAGCGCAGGATGTTTCCGATGTTTCATCTTCGTCAGTAAATCACAGCTCAAATATAAAATGTAGCAAGCATCCACTCGTTTCACTCACACTCGTTTCCAGTGCCTAAGCGTATTTCTTGCCGTTCAAAGACATACGATTGCTAAATGGGACGTGACATCTTATCGGCTGCCTTCCAGATAAAACTCGTACTACGGTAAGAATACCACCCTATTCCGCTGTGGGTAAAAATGAGACGCCAGCTCGTATCTGAAGACCCACACGTCTTCCGAAAAGTTCCTCATATATAGAAATTTAAGGAACAACGTTGTAAACCAATTATGCAAGTATACAAACTAAGAGCCGCTCAACATCTCCTGCATGTTCAATTTGTTCTTTTATTCAGCGCAAATATCAAACTTTTTATAGTTAGCACTTTTCGCACTCAAACTACACGCGAAGTACATCCAGACAGTGGCGTACCGAGGGGCCCCCCGCCCCCGAGAACGGGTCGCGAAATTTTTGAAAGTTACTTACATGAGTTATAAAAAAGCGCAAGTACTTGTTTATTTTTGTAAATAATTAAAATAATTTTTAAAATTTTTTAAAAATTCAAATTAGCCTTATAAAAATCTTTTCGGGGGTTTTAGGGGTTGGGGCCCGCAGAAGTTTTGAGAAGCCCCCCTAAAAATTTTTCGGAGTGCGTGGCTGACGCCACGCACCTTCATTTATGAAAAATTTTTGCCGCGCCCCCCCCCCACCCCGAGCCGAAATCCTGGGTACGCCACTGCATCCAGATGATGCGTATCGCGTCTATAATGCAGCTTGATAAGCCAATTATGAAACTTTGTTCACTAGCATTTAGAGCCTGCAGGGACTGACAAGGGAAGGAAGGTTGGTCGAAGTGGCCTTTTGAAATGAGGTGTATAACGCCTTGCAGAGCTTGAAACGCTGATTCCAAATCTACCTTTGCTATCTGCTGCGGGCTTCTGGGCGAGGAGTTATGAAGGTTTTTGTGAGTAAAAATCTGAATGCAAAAATAAGCTAAAATCAGTCGTAACTTTTCCCAGTGTTAAAATGAGGCAACAGCGAACTGGTACATTTGAATCAAGAATATTTGTTGCACCGAGTGACCCGACTACCAATTAAGCCTTATAAAAAAATGTTACGACTGCTTTTAGCCTGCTCTTGCATTCAGATTTTGACTCACAAAAACCTGTGTAACTCCTCGCCTAGATGCCCGCAGCAGATAGCAAAAGTAGAATTGAAATCAGCGTTCCAAGCTCTACAAGGTGGTAACATCTCATTTCAAAAGGCCAATTCGACCAACTTTCCTTTCCTTGTGAGTATAGTTTGCAAACAAATATGTATAGGGCATTCGAAAGTGACGATGGCGCGACCGCGCGAGGCACGCACGCACCTCCCGGCAATCGCATTTTGGTTTTTATTTCTACACGAATGGTTTTTCTGCTTACATATGACAGTACTTAGACCAGGGTCGAGCTTGGGGTGCGGCACGCCACACTTGGGGGGTCGTATTGAGGACTCAAAAAGGGAGGGGGTCGTAGTTGGGTAATCTGATAATAGTGATAACATGATATTCGATCCTATCCATAATTAGCATGTCAAATAATCCCTATAGACAAAGTGTGAGCGGATTCTGAAGATTCAAGATACTAGGCTACCTAAGTGAAATGGTCAAATTCCAACATGGTTAACTTTGTTTCAAAGGTGAATTAGCTATCCGTTTTTGCACTCAAGACAAAGCACTACTGTGCTGGGCACTTTTTGCACTCTAATGGGCTGCGGCACACCCCCTTAAAAGCTGCGGTGGCCGCAGCTTTTAAGGGGGTGTGCCGCAGCCCATTAACTATATCATAAAAACATTTTTAGCAAACCTTGTTTATATGGATCGATAGCCTAGATCTCCCAGTTTTCACAGGAGTGATTTGAGCCTGATTCGCTTTCTCTGCTCTAAGTAATATTTGTTGAAAGCACAGCGATCAAAACCGAAAAATGGGAAAAACGAGATTTTGGTTGGCTTCTAATTCTACAGTTTGGAGGTCTTCTGAAGCGGGATTCCTGAGGTGGACAAAGAAGGAGTAGTGCTTTGTCTTGAGTGCAAAAACGGATAGCTAATTCACCTTTGAAACAAAGTTAACCATGTTGGAATTTGACCGTTTCACTTAGGTAGCCTAGTATCTTGAATCTTCAGAATTCGCTCACACTTTGCCTACAGGGGTTATTTGACATGTTAATTATGGATACGTTGCCCATTATGTTTGACAGGGCCTTCAAGTAATGCTATCTTAAGTGTATAGTTCAGGGGGGGGGTCGTAACCAGCGATCGTGTGCCACACCCCTTGCTTGACCCTGATTTAGACATTGGAAGTGACTGAGCTAAGAGTTGAGGTGTGTCTTTTTGCATGAGTGTTTTCTGTTCCTGCGCGCGCAAAGGCCGCAGTCAAATCCGTCGTCACAATTTTATAAACGACCTGTATAATTTATTGATTAATTCAATTAATTCAGACAAGAGGCCCAACAAACATTTTAAATGCATTATTTGCCTTTAAGCTATTCCAGAAAGCGATTTTACACTTCGCTAGATAATTTAGTGGTCTAGCACTTCGGTGTCTGTGAAGATTAGTGAATCAGTTCCACGCCCATGAGCAGTTGTGGAAGGATATCCGAAAAGGACAAATATATGATTATAGCGCATCGAGAGGCATCTATTGTGAAAACCTTGGATGGACCCACTAATTCTATCTTGCTAAATAAGCATGAACAAAGGTGCTTCATAAACTACAGCCTGCATGTTTATTTTCGAACCGTTGATTTTAGTCTTATTCACTATACTTCAGCAAAAAACCTTTAAAGGCACACAATTTTTATTACTGCATAGCACTAATGCGTTTACTATAGCTGATGAACTCAGCAATAGTAAACGCATTAGTGCTATACAGTAACGCATTATAGTGAAATTAATAAGCTTCAGTATATCGAAACCTCGGAGCGGCCTACTGCTTGTATTAGGTTGAGGCATAATTCCTGCACAAAAATAGGTACAGATCGCAATAATCCGGAATGATCCCGTATCCCAAATAGATTTCGATATATTATTAAATAGAGCAAACCTAGCTCTACAAGATAGTGCTTAAAGACTTGCAGCAGTTTTGATCCAAGCGAAGATTGAAGCCAAAAACGAAGAAAATCCAAGCGCCCCAAAAACCCAAGGAAAAATTGGAAGTCCGCTTAGAAAAATCCTTCAAAATTACATGCTTATGCACTGCATTTCGTATAAGACATTTCTCTATGCAGTTGCTACATTTTTCTCTCCGCTAGAATTTGAGAAAACAAAGTTTTTCATGTTTTTTACAAAACAAAGCTGAGATGTTCTAGCACTGACAGTTGTATGCTATAGGACCTTAGAAGCATGAGTGTGAATTTTCAGCTCTACAGCAGCGGTTTATACGAGAAATATCGAATTTTTTGCAACTAGGCACGAAAAATTCGGATAAGGAGAGCCAGATTCCATTTCTTCCAAACTAGCAGTTCTAGAAGGCAAAATGTAAAGTTTCATTGCTAACGGCATGTTCTAAACGGATGTTAGTGCTAGAACATCTCAGCACTGATTTGGCCAAAACATAAAAAACTTCGTTTTTTCATCGTCTAGCTGAGAAGAAAAATACAGCAACCGCGTAGATAAATGTCTTACGCAGAACGTCTAAGCGTGAGCAAGAAAGGAATTTTGTAGGAGCTTTCTGAAAGAGATTACAATTTTATTTTGGCTAGTCTTAAGGTTTCCGAACTCATGGTTTTTTTCAGTTTCCGGCTCGAAACTTGGCGTGGATCAAAGCTGGTACAGGTATTTGAGCACTATCTTGTAGAGCTAGGTTTGCTCTATCCAATGATACATCGAATCCTATTTGGGATATAGAATTATTCCAAATTATAGCGGTCTGTACCTATTTTGGTGCAGGAATTATGCATCAACCTAATAGCAACCTGGCTAGAATGAGTAGACATTCGAGTAAGGACAGCATGCAAGCAATGAAAGTGCTTGCTTATTCTTACCAGCAATCTATCTGCAGCGCATATGGCTGAGATGAGCAACGGCATGTGGGAGCTGGCTATTATTGACCGTTGGGTCCAGCTGTTTTCATTTGCACAACGGGACTTCTACACCTGGTATTTGCAAGCTTTTTGGTCAGACAGCTAATTAAGCAAACTGGGGACCCACCACCCCCCCCCCCCCTGAGTCTGCGTCCACAAGTAGCCCATTCAACACAGAATACAACAGGCATATAGCCTCATGATCGATACGAACACGTGGCGTATTGAGTCGTGAAAAGGGAAATATTCAATCAAGTACTAAGCTTTTTCTCTTTTTCTCGTGTAATTAATCACAGCCTTTCTCAGAATAATTCTGCATTCGTTCAAATGGCCAAATGCAAAAACATAACATCTGTTGCGTTGGCATCCAGCATTGTCTAGAAAACTAACTTTGTCATTCTTTGCACAGAAAGGACTTCCCTATTCAGCGAACGATTGAGCTGCACTTTCTGGGTCCTTTTTAGGCCAAACCCTCCTCAAATAACGGACGCTTCTATTGATGCACTCGCATTTTTGAAAAGCTGTGTTCAGAAATATCTCCGATGTTTTTCGCATAAATTCACATATTTGAGTGGAAATTGCCCGAATCGTAATTGGTGATCTTAACAGGGATTTTCGCAGGGATTTAGAACTTCTTTTAGTAGCTAACCAAAAAGACATTCAAATTGGAATTTTCAATGTGCATGACCGAACATATGTTATTCTCACATGATGTAATTGTTAAAATACCCTAAAACGCTGCGAAAACTATTATCAAGAACGGATGGCTCACTTTGTTCACAGCTAGCCAATTTATCACAATAAAGCTAAGCGCTCGCGAAATTCGAATTATACGGAACACAAGAGTCATAATATAGAACACTAGAATCCTGTGACTACAAATGACTATGCAAGACAGTTGCTGACTAGTGCAGAAATGACTCGCCGCATCGATTTTGGTACTCTAGCGGAAAAATTTTTATGGTACGACAGTATATAAACGAAGGATTAAAAGCCGAGCCTAATTAAAATTAAACCGCGCGCCTTTTTGTTTGGTAGCTGGTAAAACCAATGCCAGATAGGTTTCCATTGATTGTGTGGGATACTTAATTACACTACTAGAAAAACTACCAATACTTCGGCCGAGCTCTTTTATGCGAACTCCGCATATTCGAGATTGAGGCAACAATCTGTTCGTTAACCAGTTGTCGGATCATTCATCTAGTGTTCTACATTACACCTCCTCTCCAATATGATTATTATCACGTCTTATCATTTTGCAATACATGCAAAACATGCTTGATTGGATAAGCAGAAACTTGCAGGAAATTATTTTCTCACTGCTCAAGAAATCTGCTCCCGTTACAACCACTAAACGCGATACACGTTTGGTTTGGAAAAATTATAACCTCGAAATATCAAGTTATTCAAGTGGCAACATCAAACTTTCACTTTGATTGAAAGAAGTCTGTTTGTCTGATTGTTTTTATTTTCTTGTATGAAGAAGGAAGCATGGACTCCGATCTTGACAGATTTAGAAACTTCTCTCAAAGAAAAGATGTGAAAGTATACATCTTATAGATTTAAGATCATTCCAAAAATAAAGTCACTTAATGAACGCCATATATCGTGTAACAAAAATTCTAAGAAGTCTTGGTAGCATTCTATGCAGCACTTCATCTTTCCAATAAAACCTTTGCAGCACAGTCAATGAGCTCTTGAAAATCTAATAAAATCTGCGACCCCTGCTTTTTTGAGATGGTTAAGTTTCACAAGTTTTCTAAACTTTAACATCAACATACCTATAATTTCTTGAAATTTTTTCATGAAACCACCGGAGTTTGGCAGGCCTGCGTCAGACACAAACAAACGCCAAACACCAATAAATCTTCTGTTAAAAAAAACTCCAGAATGATATCATGTTCTAACACTACAATTTTACAAAGCAAATGAGAGTTTACGAAATCGAGATACTAATTTCGAATTTTTTTTTCGGATACAGCCTGCGGCGCGTTCGAAAACGTGAATTATGATGACTTAAGCCGAAGACTTTACGAAGGAGACAAAAAACAGCTAGAAAGAAGAGAAGCTGCATCGAATGAAACCCGAGCTGTCACCGTTTGATGTTCTACGAGATTTGAATTGATCTGGTATAGAAACTGATACCATCAATTGAAATTCTATCAGAAATAATATGACGAGTTATGGAAAAGAGATAGGAAATGTTTTGTATTCCTTAGGATTTGCTCTATCTACCCGTTATTTGGGCTCCTTCGGAGGTTTGATATAAAATTTTAGAAAAATTGTGAAACTTGAGCATCTCAAAAAGCGTCGGGCGTAAAATTATAAATATTTCAAGAGCCATTGGTTCTGTTTCAATGAAGCAACCATCAGAAAGAGGATGAAATGTTGCACATTTGCTACCAAGATCTCTCAGAAATCTTTGTTTCATCAAATGTGGCGCACCTTTGAAAAAAGCGAAATCATTTTCGAAATGACCTTATCCATGAATCGATCGCAAAGAAATGGCTCGGCAATTTACAAGTTCCGGGTTCCTAATGTCCCCATATTTACTCAATGCAAATTTCTGGTTTACAACACCTAGAAATGTCAGAAAACTCGGCCTTGAACATGCATAAAAAAGCAATTTTTCTTTCATTTACATTAGATATTTCTCTGACTGACAGCTAGTTGGTTAGCTATTTGCTCCTAGGCCATTCATTATTTCTCAAGTTTATGAGAGGAATTTGAAATTCTTATCATCGAAGCGAGTTTTGGTCCCATCTCAAAAAAGGTCTACTAAAGTGATAAATAATCTCAAGTCAAAATACTGCATGACTGCATCTAAAAAATCATTTTAGCTCAAAATATAAGTCACGTGGTAGTCTCTTCCACGAACCACAAGCTCACGTTCTCATTCGTTACACGTTACATATTGGTTTTTCTTTGTTTCTCTCGAGAATTCCGAGGCAGCATCAATTTATTCTAGCATCACATAGGAACGTTCTTTGATGTGCAACTTAAAAGAAACCGATATAAACATCTTGCGGAATAAAAACTCAAATGCTCACTTAGTCAGTTGTGCTGCGAAAAAGCAAAGCAAACAAAAGCTTTCGAACACAACAAATAAACGTTTTTCGAAGCTGAGAGATAGGCAACGTGCGCAAGCTGATTACATGAAAAGATTACTTTCTCAGCCCAAATTGCTTTCTACTTCTAATGAGCTCCCTGTTCAATGCTCAGCTGGTGTCCCTCCAGCTCCGATGGACGATTTTCCGATAGCTTCTCCACTACCTACTATCCTATGATTATTTTTTTTCTACGATTATGCCACGATACTTTCTAGTTATCGAGCAACCCATTTCACTTCAATCGTTCACTTCATGGGCTGGAAAACTTCATGAACAAAAAAACAGCACTTTAAGGATTTTTTGTGTGTGCTTAACTGGACACACTGGCGCCTCAGCTTAACTCTGACAAATTACTGGCTTCTTTGTTGACACAGAGAACCAGTTCATCCTTTTTTTGTAAGATATTTTGGCCACGAATATTCAGTAGGTGGAGCTCAATCATGACCATTGTTCGCGTGATTCCCATATTATATTTGATTGAACCGAAAGTCCTGTCGCATTATTATTGAAAAATCTCTGCTTTTTCTAGTTCACTATTTTTGCAAGACCTAATTTTATTAAAGAAGCTTATGCTGTGTAAGACAATGCAAGAAATTCTACTATTTTTGATCGCAAAGTTAAAAATAGGAAAATGAAAAAATTGCAAGCTGCAGTCAAATCAAAAATAGTAATTGCATAAGTTTTAGGATATTTCTCTCTTACTGAACAAAATTTGCCTATTGAGTTTGGCTATGGAAAGCTATGATCTTTAGATAAAAGGCCAAAAAATTGAATTTGCCACTTTCTATTGTTTCCGCAGAAGTCATAATTTTACATAGAAAAGCTCATTTAGCACAAACTTGCTCAGTTGGAGAGAAAATATCTCATATCTATGCTAACGACTGCTTGAGATTTATAGCAAAGGTTAAATTTTTGACGGGTGGGCTCAGAATCCCCAAAACTCTAATAACCTCCATCTTCAGTTCTTGTCTCTGCAATCAAAGCTCACAAGGAAAGGATACTTGGTGACCGTGGCCTTTTGCAGTGAGATGTATATCAGTAAATGCCCTTTAAACGCTGATTCCAGATCTGTGTTCGTTATGTGCTGTGCCTCTCTATGAAGGAAGTTATGGTTTTTTTTTCTTCACAATAATTTCATTAGGCAGTCAGAATCGTCAGCTTCCAGGCTCTAAGGGTAGAAGCGAAACAGGATCTCATTCGATAGAATTATTTTTAGACATGGATGTATCGGAAACTTCTCAGAGCTTAACGTGAAGCTTTATTTTATTTCAACGCTCTTTGTATTGCGTAAGTGACCACAACGGTCTTGGTGAATCCTGTTACCGAAACAGTACAAATTTTGGTGGCAAGAAATGTTAACAACTTCTTTCGAAAGGGCGCAAAGCAGATACCAAAGGCAGATTTGGAATCAGCGCTTCAGGATGCATTTGAGGGTGTACGTTACCTTTCTAAAGGTCATGGTCACCAAGTATCCCTCCCTTGTCAGTGAAAATGCCAATGCCCTCCGCGGTCTTTTTCATGAAATTATTTTCCTGCAAGAACATCGAAATAGAACAAAGTTACGACTTTTCAAAAATAGTGCGGCAGAACTTTCTGCTCAGCCTGATACCAGTTCGCAAGCAATTTAGTGAGGTAGTAAATTCCACTATTGTATGTATGTTTGCATACATTGTCGGCTCAAAAACGCTAATAACGTTGCTAGAAAAACTGCTGCTCGTCGAAAACCATTCCAGTGCCAATCTACGCGTAACATGTAACACTGGTCGTCGATATTATTCAAAGAAAGAAAAAAGCAGATACGGAGGGAGTGTGCGGCCGCATCGTCCTCCATCAACGCCTCCTACCCACGAAGATGTGTCATACAGTTATGCACGCGCATTTCTCAACTAGCATTCGAATGCTAATGTCGCACATTTTGGCTCTCACCACCACTACGTCATCGAATCGATCCCTTTCTCTAATGCTTTGTTCCCTACTACTGTTTTCGCTTCTCAAAAGACTCATTCTGGGTATTTTCAACGAATCAGCCAATTTAGAAGATTAGAGCGCTGCTGCTCGAAAGCGTTGCCTTTAGATAGGAACGAAGTAAATTAAGCGCACGTCTAATTGACTTCAACGCTTCAGTGATGCTTGCGGCGATCCGACGACTTCCACAATCTGCTGCTCCGTGGATATCCATTTGTCGACTTAGGTAAGCCAATATACTTATTAGATTAGCTCGCTACTAGCCCCTCTTTTCTGAAAAAAAAACCACTATCGTCATCCTTCCGCATGCTCCGCACTGACATTCATCATAGAATGAGTCTTCAATTCGATCAATTTCGTCTTTCAAACCCTTCGAAAAATTTCCACATGACATTTGTCATTCACAAAACATAACAATTAGTCAAGCGTATGATGGAGTATCTCAAGCGTGATTTTATGACGGTCAGTTTTGACAAGATAAAACGCACCATTCTTTTCAATTATCTGGAAAGCCACGATCGAGAAGTCACTAAAATTTGGATGAGACCTATCCTAAGTAAGCATGCATTGATCACGGGCAAAGCGAATGCCATTATTTGTGCTTTCTAATGATACTCGGTATTCGTTTTATTAGCGCACAAAAAGATAACAGCACACGCTCATTTAACAAGCTTGAAATTACGATACCGTTCTCTTATAGATATATCACGTATATTGTGTATGTTCCCATTATTGTTAGCTTACTTTTTATACTTTTGTGGGCTCTCTGGCATTGCGCCGTCACGTATCGGCATGACATTACATGTCATTACTAAGCATAACATACATTTAACACGTTGACAACCGTGTGCATACGCGCGTATGCACGCCCTGACTGCCATTTAGTATCTTGTGCAACAGTTTTTCATGTGTAAGCGGAAATTATCAAAGCAACTTCTATGCAGTAATAAGCATTAGCACTAGCATTATTAGGCCTGGCTGTCATATAGAACACAGGGCACCACGATAGCTGTTCAGAAATCTAAACCGCAGGATTACCTATCTGATCATTTTGATATGGTACAAAATGACTAGGTCGTCAACGTGTTAAATGGAGTAAGTCAAGGACATCATCAAAAAGATAATCAGATACATTTTATAGATAGTCGCTAGGCAGCCATCACATCCCTTAATGTCAATAGCCAGTTGCTGATTGGCACTGTTGCATGATGATACTAATATCAATATACCAATATTTGGCATTGAGAAATTAGTCACTTTTGATTTTGGATTATTCATAATGACGCTGAGATGACCATTACAACATCAACGCCACAATGCATAGGATAACGAATGGAAAAGAGGGCAGGAGAGGGGGAGTGGGAGGCGAGAGCTTTCACGGACGTTAAAGATGCAAAACTTTTGCTTGATGATGTAGTCTTTGATCGAGATGTAAACTTTAAAAGACCATTCCTAACTCCTTCCATTGTGAAGGCAATTCTACAGTATTATATGAACATTTTCGTACGATGTGCTGCACAGGACTCACATATATACGCAAAATATCTTCTGCAAGCACCCACACATTTTATCGTATGAACAGTCATTTAACCAATAGTGTGATCAGGTTCCCACTTGTATTGACCCTCTGGTTTACTCACGTTGTGCTTAAGGTGGAATGTTCAATTACCATTTGATACACTAGCACCTCTTCCTAATATTGTGTTTCCTCTCATTTCTTTGATACTTTGAATTCTGAACCACTTATTCAAACTCCCTTACTCACCCATTATATAGATTGTCCCAAAAAATTGTGCCTACTGTTTGATTGTTAATAACTCTCTTGTAATGAAGTTTTTGTGACGCTCAAAGTACCGTTTTGTAGGGCTAGCTTCAACTTAGATTTACAGTATAGAACGAATCAAGAATCTATCTTCATTACTGTATGTAAGAGCACGTTGTGACCACAGCATAAAGGGACAAAGTTTTGATGGATGCTGATCTCAGTACATAAATTTTTGCGCTTTTGTAAAGCTTGATAAATGGCCTAATCAGATCTTGACAAATAGCAGAAATTGGCCTGGTTTATTTGGCATAACTTATTCCATGTATGGAATCGGTAACTCTTACTAACCTACTGTAGAAGCTTTCACCTTCTTTGTTCCATTTTAGGAGTGAAATATGACCCCCATCTATTCAAAATCCTACTCAAATTCCCTACCATAATCCTACAGTAATGAAGCGGGGTTTTTGATTTGAATTTATGAAGCCAGATAGCTCTACAAAATGGTATCTAATGCTTCACTTCATTATAAGAGAGTTATCAACGATCAAACAGTAACCATCTCTTGGGACACTCCGTAAACTGCCGCTGATTAACATGGTTTACCACTTTGCGTTTAATTTAGAAAAATAGAAAAAGTTCTACTTGTCTCTTTTACACAGAGCAAACTATCAATCGTATTTAGCACTTCTGCCAACAATGCGGAAACGTTCTACTATAAAGATCTACAGATCAAAGAAGCCTCACCTGGACAGCGAAAACCACTGCCGAAGAAGGTTGCCGAATTATAATACTCTGGAATCAGTTGAATGGACAGTTCTAGGATCAACCACTCGGATTTGGGGTAATATTTTCCGATCATATGCTAGAAGTAGACTATGAGCGTGGCAAAGGATGGACAAAACCAGTCATACATCCATACCGCAACTTTTCACTTGATCCTGCAGCGAAGGTATGAAGCTATTGCACAACGTTGAGTCAAAAATCACGCATATCCTGAAATTGAATGTTCTTACATTCTTGTGGTAAAAGAGACTCAAGCTTTTCTAGAACAGAACAGGCGTACGAAAACTGTTCCGCAAAGACGTTATATTCCATCACATAACGATACTACGTTGGAAGCCCAAAACTTTTTTCACCCAGGGGAGGGGGGGGGGGGCGATAGCTTTCTTTTCCAAAGACAGGGCGAAACAGACTAGGATGTTTTTCATTTTTTCGCGTCCCATGCTAAAATTTTGCAGAAAAGGGTGTGACACACCACGTCCCTCTCCAAATCTCTTACAAAGCTGATAATTTTCAAATAATAATCCAATTATTTCATTATGAACATGTAAAAGAAGTCCCTCAAACAATTTTATAATTCATCTAGGCTAACTCAAGAAATTTCGCGACGCATTCTCCGCGGAACTCTCCCGTCCCCCTCGGCCCTGCTCTCGTCCGCTACTGGGATATCACATATGACTCTTATGCAGAGCACGACCACACCCTCCAAAAAAATTTTTTGGGATGGTTTTTGGGATTTTCTGGCTTACATTCTTGGAAATTTGAAAAGAGGTGGTAGCCACTGAAAAAAATTCTACAAAGTAACTAAGGTTTTTGAAAGAGTACAATAATTTTCCATTACTTACATTAAAAAACAAGTGCCTGCACTGCGCGTTACTTCAAAAGGGTTTGTAGAAGTTGGAAAAGTCTAACATTCATAGAAGTCCCTTCTCCAAGCAAATATAAAAGGAGATATCATATATTTGGGTCGCTACCTCTGCCAAGAGCAAGAGAAAGGATACATGATCCTTATTTTTGAACCAGCACTAATCACATACATAGCAACGAACTTCCTGGCCATTGAGATAACTAACAATAAGTTTGCTCACAACTGTATAAACAAAGTGATTTGCACATTTTTATAACCCACGTAAATAAATTACAAAAATTTTGCGACCCATTCTCCGAGGCAAGGTACAAATATTATTTCAATACATTTTCTGCAAATTCACACTACAAGCAATTTTTTGAGTACGGGAGTATTGAGACAGATGAGCAAGAGTGAGAAAGTACAAATAATCTAAAAGTAATTCCTTATTGTTTAATTCCACAATTATATGTAAGATGATCGAACTTCACAATCTTCTGCTTGAAAAATGCATAATTTTATGTTTAAAACAGATAAACGAGTAGAACTTGGTAAATATTTTCGGAAGTTGTTTTGGGTCCCGAAACAAAAGTCCTTTTCAGGTGCTACACTATGCTTGTGAGCTATTCGAAGGGCTAAAAGCGTACCGTGGCGCTGACAATCGTATTCGCATGTTTCGTCCAGAGCTAAACATGGCCAGGATGAGAAGGTCTGCCAAGCGAAGCACGCTACCAGATTTCGATGGAAACGAACTATTAGAATGCATAAAAGAACTGGTAAACATTGAAGTCCAAATTTTGAGGTTGTGTCAAGCTTTTACAATAGCACTAACCTCGCCACGCCTTCGTAACAGGCAGCCAAGCTTTTTATTGAAATATCGTCAACTAAACTGTATTGGTAACTAGAAAGCATGCGACAGTAAGACAATAATTTGCTAACTTGTATTTGCTGACTTGGAGCTGATTTGGTGATAGGCCGCCAAGCTTCTCAACAAAAATGGGTTACAACATGATTCACCACATGAAAGTTAACAAAATATTAAGAAAATTAGCCTGCAATAAGGAAAAAAAGAAAAATAACTCGTTTTAACATTGTTTCGCAACGTTGCCTATTGCAAATCGTTCGCAGTATAGTAGACCTCACATTTATCAGTCGCGTTGTTCATTTGCACTTTCCAGAATTCTATACCCATACTGGTATGCACCAAGCTTTCAGTTGAAGTAGTCACTCATAGCTAATCAAAAAATTGAGCAATCCTCAACCAGTCTCTTTCTGAACACCATATTTTAGATACGCATCGATAAGGAATGGGTTCCACGACAGAAAGGAGCTTCACTTTATATCCGACCAACAATTATTGGAACTGAACCTATGCTTGGTGTGCATGTTTCCAGTACAGCAAAACTGTTCGTCATTATTGGTCCAGCCGGAGCATACTTTGATACGTTTGATGTGAATATATATGTCGTTTTTTGAAAGGACGATGGGTAATATCTATTCAGCCGGTTACCCTATTAGCTGATCCGAGATACGTTCGAGCGGCCAAAGGAGGTGTTGGAGAATACAAGATGGGATGTAACTACGCTCCGACGCTGATGCTTGGCGGAGTAGCAAAAGAAAAAGGATGCCACCAAGTTTTATGGCTTGCAGGACCGGAGCACTACGTGAGTACAGTGTGATTGTAAAAGTGGTTAGAAGCAGATGATGCTTCGATAATCACTGCTTCAAGTCCCAAGCTCCCTCCCCTGGGGCGATGGGCTGGTTGCAAAAAGCACTTTTATTCAGCATTGCCAGAAAAACTTGATTTCTATATTACAAACTCTGAGACCAACTCCAGACTCTGCTCACCAACTCTCCGATATAGAAATAAATCGAGGTCTAAGGTATACTTAGACGATACCAAAATTGACAAACAACAAGCTGAACAATGTTGTCAAAGTACTGTATACAGGCATTCCAGTGGCGCACCCATGATTTCGGCTCGGGGGGGGGGGGCGCGACAAAAATTTTTTTCTAAAGGTACGTGGCGTTAGCCACGCACTCCGAAAAATTTTTGGGGTGCTTCTCAAAATTTTTCCGGGCCCGAAAAAAAATTTTTTATAAGGCTAAAATGAATTTTTAAAAATTTTAAAAATTATTTTAATTTTTTACAAGTAAAAACAAGTCACTTGCACATTTTTATGGCCCATGTAAGTAACTTTCAAAAATTTCGCAACCCGTTCTCGGGGGGAGGGGGGGGGGGCGCGCGCCCCCCCCCCGCCCCCCCCCCTCCCTCGGTACGCCACTGAGGCATTCCTAGAACAACTAGTTGCAAACATATATGGGACCAATTTGACAAATGCCAATATGGTACCTCAGGGCCATTATACTCTTTGCTGGCTAGATGACTGGATTCGCATGAGGGAAATTATTCAAAAAGGAACATTTTGATGAAATTCTGCTAAAAGCGATCAAGATGTTCCAATGAACGTTTTGGCTTGTTTTGCCTCCATAAAAGACGACAAACAGCTTCAAAAGTCGTAAGTTTTTGAAGGAGTACCTCGCGACTCTTTTTTCGACAGGGAAGAAACTGAAAGAAAACACGAAGTAGAGTCTTTCTCGCCACCTCTCCTTCGTTCGCCATTCAATGAAATCACCCTGCGCTTTGCTTAGACTATATAATCATGCTGTTAGTGAGTAGCAATTTTTGTTTTTGAGGTCACCGAAGTTGGAGCTATGAACTTCTTTATGTATTGGAAAAATGAGCAAGGAGAGGACGAACTGATCACTGCCTCACTCGAGTCAGGTGAGTACGACCAGTACGAAGAAGAAAGCATGTCGGTAACACCTCACTCCGGCACCACCACTCTTTTTTCTCTAAATTTTCGCATAATTCCTGCATCAAAACATCGTTAGTCTATAAAGGCAGGTAATGCAGAAGATGTCCTAATAAACGCAACAACTACAAGGTCGGATTACACAATTTTTGAATGCTCAAAGTCACAAATAAAGAAAAGATCATAAACAACTACGTGCGTATTGATGCAATAACTTCACCAATACAGGTATAATTCTACCCGGAGTGACACGCCAGTCAATATTGGAACTTGCAAGAGAGATGGGTGGCTTCAAAGTGACGGAGCGCGATTTCACTATGGACGAAGTACGAAAAGCTGTGAAAGAGAAACGAGTTAGTTTGATGTTTCCAATTTTTAGTCTTCCAAAATTCTCGAAGACCATGTATGCGCGTACATCCTCAGGTGTATGAGATGTTCGGTACCGGAACAGCCGCTGTTGTGACACCAGTCGATAAGATTGTCTTTCAAGCTGAAGGGATAGAAGACAGGCTGGAAGTCCCGGTGAAGGATGATGAGAATTCGCTGATGCAGAGGTAAGAAAATGCTTTTTGCAAAAATGTAGTTTGAAAAGTAGAGAGACAAGAGAAGAATGGCAAACAAGCAGCACTCGAGAGACTGGTCGAAGTACCCTCTGCTGCAGATCAGCGCAAGTCTCGCCGCTCTCTCAGCACCGCAAGGGTAGTGTATTAACGTCGCTTCTATTCGACTTCGACTGTAAACTATCAGCCTACTAGGGAAAGAAGTCATTAACCGACGTTAAATGACACTTTAGGACCATTGATCCAAGCACTATTCCCGTGTATTCGGATCTTTCACGCATGCGTACTCCTAGCACCAAACACTGAATAGAGGAGCAGATACCATCGCAGCCCCACTTTTGCAGTTGAAGGCAGTGTCTCAGAGGTCGCGCGAATCTTCACATATTTCATTATAGGGACCTCTAAATAGGCCACTGCAAAAAGTCCCACTCAATTTGACCCCCTCCATGCTGAGAAAAATTTGCTCAAAGTGGTAGGCGGAGAGCGATTTGGTACGCGCGGACGACTCCTTCGGTCTCCCCCCTTACGCGTTTGAACAAGTCCCTCCGCTTGGCATTCACCTCCCCTCTGTTGCTGCCGCTGTGGCTGAGGCTGAAGTTGGAAGGAACAACTCGTCCACGTCGCTTCCGCGGGGCCTCCAGAAAACAGGGTTTTGGGAACTTCATGCAATTTTAACACGGAATTTTTCGGACCGCGAAATCGCGCGCGGCGAAAAAGAGGGTACTTTCAGCCGTTAGCCAGCAAAGGTACCTTAATTCGTAGATTGTGTGCTACATCTGTAATCAGCATGTCAGATAAGATCCATGCCCAGAGTCCTGAGTGAATTCGAAGTGTTTGAATTTTGTCGTTTGAGAAGCACTTCCGTGCTTTCTTGAAAGATAGGAACAAGATTTCAGTCTCTAATTGTATCCAAAAGTATCTATGTTGTACACGATATACATTACTATTAGAACTACGGTTTTTCCCTTCGTATTCCAAGCTAAGAAAATTTGCGACGTCGCACGCGTCGTTCGCGCCGCCGCACTTCGTTGCAACTGCTGTTCGATTTGTGCTCATATCTCCTAAACAAATATCTGCTGCACAACTTTACATAGTCATCTGAAAAGTAGAAGCTTAGGCCTTTGACTTGATAACTTTGGACAAAAAGAAAACCTCCTGTAAACGTTGAAAAGGTCCTTCGAAGGCGCGTGCTGCACCATGTGCAGCACCGGTCCGAAACGTGTTAACCCATACAGTGCTAGACAGGGTCCAACAGGCTTGCAAAATGCAAAAATCTCGGCAACTAAATTTTGGTGAGACACTGTTAAACGGTTGTCCGTTTGACTGCAGAAGTGGCCTTATCTATATAGACCGCGTCAAATGTTGTAGAAAAGTTATGCAAAATCTTGTTCGAAGAGGTAAGGGTGCGATGAAAAAGAAAATGCCTTTGCCTGCTTCAAGCTGTTGTAATTGATAAGTTAGTGAAATTGAATTGTTATGAGTTTGCGAATGCTGGAAGAAAATCCTGACTTAGATGCAACGAAAACCTTACTTTTTGAAGAAAAGGACATTATGTGTGTGTGGGGGGGGGCAGCCCGTTCGGTCTCTGCCACTCACTTACCACGTATCTTGACAAATTACAGCCGTACTAGCTTCTTTCGTCTCAGATGGAGCCCATCGGCGACACAGTCCTCTATCCCGTTTCTATTTATTTATTTATTTATTTATTTATGAGTTAGAGCGTCCAACTCAACGAACTCAAGAGGGGTTAGTAACATGTAGCAGGCAAATGGACATCAGGTCCACCGCTAGAAATATAGGCTTTTATAAAATCAAGCTCATTACCGCTAGAACTGAAACCGTTGTTTCCCTAAGAGTAAACAGAGATAATAGTTCGCACACCAGTCGTCCAAGCGTGCGCTAGTGCGCCTCTAACACCAGATGGCATGCCTGGAGCCTTTGGAGTGACAGGTATACCGACTGAACATATGTCGAACCAGGCTTACCAGTAGAGGAGTACTCTGGGCATAGGCTAAAAAAAAACTATCGGTGGGGTATCCACAGTGAAGTAAGAGCTGAGTAATGAGATAAAAAGATTAGAAAAATTTTGTTTAGATAGGTGGACACTGCGTCACGATCTTGACATATCCTAGAAAAAATAACGAAACATCCTCTAGAACAAACATCCGCAGAAGGTCGTTGCTTAGTAGGAACTTCTTGAATTTGGCTGAGTTTTGGCACAAAATCTCTATAGGCAGGCGGTTTAGTAGGCGACAAGTACGACCCGCAAAGGAATATCGCAGCACTCGCTTGCCAATCGTTGGACCTAGGAACACATATATTTAGATTAGGTCTCCGGATTTGACAAGGACGAATCTATCTTGAGATTGCCAATTTTTCAGGTTGTTCAAGACAATCACGGACATACAATTTGGGCGAGCAAAACGTGCGGGCTGGACGGTCGACGTTTGCTAGATACATAAATTATGATCAAGACCTGAGAAGCAGTCACGCTAGATAGCTTAGTTTAGCAGATTATATGATAGTCGTATTTACTCCACTTCAGTAATGCTAGGATGTATCACGCCTGATCATTCGGTTCCAAATTGATGTTGTGAATGCTTTAGTCTATTATGTCAGCGTAGACGTAGGCATTTGCTAGCGCTTAGCATCTAGTTCGGATCTCTTTCAGTGGTGGAGCAAGTGTGAGCTGACTGCTAAAATTCTGCCAGATCTTGTGAACATAGTCAGATGCTATATCGCCAATAGATATTACGCTCTCCAACTCTTGAAAATCATATGATATTATGGCTGTTGCTATTGTTTTTTTTTCTTGCTGTTGCTGATCATTTGATGATGTCACAATGCATAAATAAATTTGCATATCAATATTTGCATCAGACATCATTTCTATACATGCAAAGCAGAAAGCAGGTAAATGTGCGGTAAGTGCCGTTTCTTAGAAAATTCTTTCCGAATGAACTGATTGAGGTGAAACTTTGCAAGCACATAGTTTTGACCCCGTGGACTGCTTTAGGCGACTTCAAGCTGATTCGTTGGGTCCTATTAATTTACTAATTTGTTTACTTACATGTAGGAGAAAGCTTGTCTTGCTCTGACAGCGTTTTCTCATAGTCTTGAAACAAGTCGGTGAAGCTCATTACGTTCTTGCGATCAGGAACATGTGGTGGATGGAATTCGATTACTACAAATCAAGCAACTAATTTTCCTCACAAAGCGCTTCACATAACAGAAAGGAGTGCAGGAGAGGTATAGGTTTGTGGGAGCTGAATATCAGTATAGTGCGGTTTGAATCGCGGCCCTATATAAATGGAACGAATTCATGGCATAAATTCAGAATGCTATCCTTCAGAATTAAGATTGAACAACCAACATTATGACGTATCTATGATGCTTCACCTATTTTTATAGACAGTAGTTACACATAAGAAGACAGCTACTCAAAGATGTAAACTACGCTATGTATTAGGTTGGCACATAAGTTTTCCAACTAATTTCGCAACAATTCTCTTATTGAATACTAGTTGGCAAACCCGGCTCCGCCCGGGGCCAAACTTTGCACACATACACTTCGGGGCAGGGAGCGTGTCATAGTCCACTTTTCGTTATCGATCGATGTCGATTTCACCGATTTTTTGCAAATTTTGAGCTACGTACAGACATACATACAGACAGACATACATACATACAGACAGACATTCAGCTTTATATATAAGATGACGCATTCGGTCGAGCTTGAAATTTCAAAACTCTAAAGAGAAAAATGAAGTCGTTCTCAATCTGGATCAAACATATCAAGCCGGAACTCTGCCAAGGATAGAGAAATCTAGAAAACTGCCAGATTGCGGCCGTTTCATGGGAAGAGATTGCCAGCACAGTGCATCGAGATAGCGTACAGTGAAACTAGGTGCTTCGAAGGGAGAAAAAGTAGTTTTCTACTTTCGTTCTTCTTTCAGGCCATATTTGAGCTCTCAAGGAGAGTGTCACAGCTCCAGCGGTTAAGTCAGCAACTGAGACGCTCAGTCGTGCGCTCCACTCGCAAAAGTAACTCAAGCACACTTTCCCAAATCATTGTTAAAGGCAGCGTCCAGGCAAATCTGAACCTTTGAAGCTCTCACGTGGAAAGTAATCTTGAGGTCCTAGATAAGATTCTGCCCAAGCGGCAGTTTAGATAGTGCAATCACGGCTAAGATATTGGACTCCAAACTAAGCCCCGCGACCGTATTCGCATGGAGTGGCGCTTTTGCGCGAGTATCCACGCGAAACTGATGTGCCGAGCCGAGCCATGAATCCATGCAAATACGGTCACGGGGCATAGCTTAGAGCCCAATATCTTAGCCGTGAGTGCACTATCTAAAGTGCGGCTTTGACAGAGTCTTATCTGAGGCCTCAAGACTACTTTCCACGTGAGAGCCCCATAGGTCCAGATTTGCCTGGACGCTGCTTTTAAGGCTTTCGTACTCGAAGGATGTGTCCGCGCAGCGCAGGGCTCGAGCGAGGGGTCGCAGGGACACCACCAGCTGGCACTTTCATTCAGACAGCTTAAATTTGCCAGGGGTATGCGGATCTACTGCTCCCCATCCGTAGGTTACGGTGGATGTAACAGCCAAAAATGAAAAACCGGCCATTCGAGTTCTCTTGCTCATCGTGTATTCCCCTAATTTGTTCAGTTTGGAAGTATGTCGATTTTGCATTTCGTATTGAGTAAAGGATAGCTAACGATATACCGCGGCTGGTGCAACACACCACCGCGGCCGTGCTATTTTTCCAGCTTTACGTACGCTGCAGCGGAGAATTTGCAGCTCGCAACTCTTACCTATAACCTCTTTTTTTGACTAAGCATTTCACAGCGTTTTTCGTCCTTAGTTCTCATTTTAGACACTTTCTCGTTCTCTCAATCTCCAAGTACTCCCGATAATCGAAATTTCTACAAAAATTTGAGTTATTTGGTTTCTAATGCATAAGGTACTTAGATCGCATGGTGTCGTTTCGGTAATACTTGTTGAAATTACGGCGGTTTGGCAGTGCTAAATTCGAGCCTTCGAAAGCTCGTTTTGGAAGATCCGCGCAGCAGATGATGAGGCTAGATCTGGAATCAGCTCATCCATCATCAACAAGACTCTAATGATATGCATTCTTATTACAAATCGCCACGGCCATCTGAATCTTGCCTAATTAGACGATTTGACTTATCTCGCCCACTTCGCTAAAGGCCCCGCACGCTTCGATATAGGCTTCCGAGAAACCACAGGCTTACAGCCCATAAACAATCAACTCCCTTAGCGCCTTTTCAATCACAAGCGCACATGTTGTGCAGAAACGGTGACGCGGCGCAGTCTTTATGGCATCCTCGTCCACGCAAGCTCCTGCTCCATTCGCGTCGCTCAAACTATGTTGAGCTAACGAGGGAACGATCCCAACTTAAGGCGGCGAATTGGAATGAACCGCATACCATTAGATGCGTCTTGATGAGCTGATTCCAAATCTACCTTCCATATCTGCGACAACGTTATTTACAAAAACTTATGAGCGGTTGAAAATGTGAAGTTATTGGGGTTTCAATGCATGATGTGCTTCAAAATCCAACTTGAAAGTACACGACTAGCATGATATTGAGTGTACTGATTTCACGGAATGCTCACATTCAAAAGAAACACAAAAAAGTGTTTTTGAATAACTAATTTTCGAGGAATGGCGCTGTATATTTGCCAAATTTGGATTTTTCATTGCTCATAGCTTTTACCAGAGAGCTTTAGTTGCTTTTTAGCTGTTCAAAAACACTTACTTGTGTTTCTTTTGAATGTGAGCATTCCTTGAAATCAGTACACTCAATATCATGCTAGTCGTGCACTTTAAAATTGGATTTTGAAGCACATTATGCATTAATACCCCAATAACTTCACATTTTCAACCTCTCATAACTTTTTGCAAATAACGTTGTCGCAGATTTGGAAGGTAAATTTGGAATCAGCTCATCAACATGCATCTAATGGTATGCGGTTCATTCCAATTCGTCACCGTAAGTTGGGATCGTTCCCTTGTAAGAAACGTGCAAATCGCGGTATGGATCCTGTAAATCTTTGTGCACGAATTACTACGGTGCTTGACAAACTACAAACTCCATCATCTTAACGAGAATGTTGAGGGCATCCATTTTAGGTGCAATGTTTGTCACACCCGAACTTAGAGAAGCTGGTTGGGTTTATTGGCACAAAATCCGAACTTGTCTCTTTTCAGGAAGAGCTGTATCCAACACTTCGCGGATAAATCAGTAATTAGGATGTAGCCGAAATTTGGCTTTTTTGGCGTCTTTCAATCAAGGTATGCTAACCTCACCTCGAAGCAAATAACATATTTAATTAACCTTTGGTTCAACTGGCTTGGTTTCGGTAAGGCGGAGCTTTGTGACCTAATTAAGGTCGATCGCGCCCACGACGCACAAGCATCTCTCTCGCGCGAGTGCTCTCTGATCATTACCTAGTCTTGATTAGGTCACGAAGCCCGCCTTGCCGAAGCCAAGCCAGTTGAATCAAATGGTACACGGTCTTGTGGCATGTGCAGAAATCCTACGCGACATTTTTGGTTTACCAAGGGCGTACTTCATAATTTTAGACTGGATAGACTAACACAGGTCAAACTACGACTTTGCAGAGCTGATCTGTCGTTAAACAAAAAAAACTTCTTTTCATGTCTTAAATACAATATATGCGATTAGCTTGTGCAACAAACCTCTCCTACGCAAAGCTTCAATCAGAATCCAACTTTTGGTGCTCATAAAGAGTGTTTTTACCAATGAAATAGTCGAAAAAGCGTTACAAATAACTCATGCAGCTTTTATCGTGCAAGTAGCCATCAGAAGCTGTTTTTTGTTCTTGGAAACTAAGATAAAGGGCAAAGAATATCAGGAGCAAAGTAACGCTACAACGTCATTCGCGCTGACATGGACTTGCTTCTCTGTGACATTGAGCCTTTCACTTCATAGCCTAATAAAATCTAGCTGGCACAGCTTCATGAAGTCTCAAAAGTACAGGCAAACCCTACTAAATAAAGTCCTAGAGATGTGCTGCATCAGCGGGATCCAAAAAACCTAGAAAACTCAATGATGCACCATGTGCACCACGTGGTCCCGATTTGAGGGTATATACTGAGAGGATAGGTATAGCATATACTATACGCACATGTATCGTTGATTCGTTGACCGCACGAACTGCTCAGACACTGACCACGCGCGGCGCGGTTGGATTGTCGCGAGAGCAGGGCTTGTACAATGGCGAAAAACTGGCGCAAGCGTTCTACCTCGCGGCGGGTGCTCAGCAGTGATGTCCACTCCGTGCGGTCAACGCATCAACTATACCTATAATTGCATGCCATGCAGGGTCAAACTTGCGTAGTCGAGGAGAACTTGGTCAGAAAAAACGTTAAAACTTCTCTCTGACAGAGAAAAACCCCAGCGTCTTCTAGTGCATTCTCCAAGACATCCAGCAACTTGTCGTTTTTATTTGCCATGATAACAATCCAAAGCTCACGTTCTCATTCTTATCACATTCTCTTTCTTTTTTCAAGAATTCCGAGGAAACATCAATCTATCCTAGCCGCAGATACAAACGTTCTTTGATGTAAAGAAGAAGATGCACGAAGCCAATGTAAACATACTACAAAAGAAACACAGATGCATACTTAGTCACGTGCTCTAAAAAGCAAAGCAAGCATTTCTTTGAAATACAAATGATTTTTACAATCGCGCCATCATGTAGACACATAAAACAAAAATTATACAGCTATTCTATGTACTAAACAGGGTCAAGCGCCATGGATCGAAAAGGTACATCATGAATTATTTTCAGATATGACATATAACTTCTTATAATCCTAACTTACAAGGAAAAACTCATTTTTTTGTCTAGATAAACTACGCATTTTGCAACCAACAATGAAACTTCCTCTCACACATATAACGAACTAAAATCTGAAGAAATCGCGTTTTGAGAAATCAACTAAAGGGACACACTGGAGTCACAGCCCAGCTCTGACTGATTACTGGCTTCGTTGTTGACAAATGAAACCAGTTGGCATTTTTTGCAGAATAGGCCACAAACTCGATAGGTGGAGCTCGATCATAATTAACGATTGCACGAAATTTCGGACATTATACTGAACTACCAGCATTTCTTGAACTAGCCTACAAACTTTTGCATATCTTATCACAATCAAGAGCGCTGATAACCTTGGTGATAAAAACGATTTTCACTTTTCGAACATCCCTGTTTCCGTCATCGCATTTTCGTCCACATCAAAAATCAGAGAGCATGTGCGGCAGCATCTTGCTCATTCAGGGCCCCTCCCACTAACGAATCATACAGTCATGCACATGCATTACTCAACCACACTCGATGCTAATGTTGTATGTAGGTGTAGCTCTCACTACCCTTTCTCATGACTCCTATACCACGCTTCGCTAAAGTTTTAGTCGCCCAAAAGTAGTTCTGAATAATGATTGATTAGAACATGTAGAATATACTTTTTTTGCTTGTAAATTGCATTCAAGACAAAAAGCTAACATAAGCACAAAAAGCGCGAGCGAAAATTCTTTGATTGATCAACGCTTCAGTGACGTGATGCTTTCGACGATTCGACGACTACCGAGTTGCGCAGCATCGTGGATATCCATTTGTCGTTTAAGGTAAGCCTCTCACCTAACGATAGGTGCCTAATCTTAACTTCGATTACGTCTTGAGAGAGCTCATAGCCAGTATACTTGGGGAAATTCGAAATTTTTTTTCGAATATTCGAATATCGAATATATTCGAAAATTGAAAATGTCGAATATTCGACTATCGAATATTATTCGAAAATGAAAATTTCGAATCGAATAATATTCGAATATCGAATATCATTCGTTATTCGAATTTCGAATATTATTCGGTTCTCGAATGTATTCGATTTTCGAATACTGACCGAATAATTTACGTCAGCCTGCCTATGAAAGGCCAAAACACTAAGAATAAATTGTTTCTTGTAAGTGCTAAGAACGGACGCCTTACAATTAACGGTGGAAAAACGGTTAGTCGCGACATGAAAAGACTTAGAAACTTAAAAGCTACTCCTGTGACGGTTGTGAAGAGATTTTTCGTACTTCAAAGAAGATTAAATACAGGGCCCGGCACGAAGTCGGCAAATGACAAGATGGAAATCGATTTGGGGCCAAAAAGCAAAGGGGGTATTCGTAAAATTTATTGGGATCAAAGGGGAATTCGTTTTGGAAAACCCCGTTTGCCCACCTCGTGCCGGGCCCTGATTAAATACCCTCACTGAGAGTTGCGATTGCATATACAGCGGTCCCAACAGTATGTAGATCCGTAGGCTGACATCAACTCAGAGTATGGGGCGATTTATTAATCGCTTTTCACTGTTGTAAAATTACCGTAAGACTAAGCAGGTTTCAAAACATCAAGAACCATTTCCCCTAAGAAAAAGAATCAAAGGGGCTGAAAGTTTTGCTTAAGATTTCTAAAGATACTCCTTTATGTAGAATTTGCACTCAACCGTAAAGCTTTTTTCAAAACTTACGCCAGGTATCCTGTGTCCCTCAGAAAAATTCCCATGTGAGTCAGCGTGCGTACAAGGTGCGACGCTGCCTTTCGCTCTTTTTGACACGTTTCTCCTGAGATTTCGACGGAACTGCCCGAGGTTAACACGTTCAAAATAGCGAAAGGCAGCGACATGACGTGGTACCTATGGGAAATTTGCTGGAGAACAAACGATACACCGTAATAAGTGTTTTTCAACGCTTTTCAAAAATGTGATTGCCATTTGAAAAGCTTGAAAACTCGTGCGTAGTAAAATCAGCACGTAAAAACACTGCTGCACAGATTTTAAACCTTTTTTGGGGACAATTTTTGTGGGTGTCTTATTTTGCAGTTGGTCTATGAGCTGGAGTTTCCTACTGTGATAACACACAATAAGAAAAACATGGGTGATACGCTTTCTGCTGTATTTATAAGCTGAAGCCATCCCTATTGGATGTTACCCAGAAGTTGGCAAAAGACTTTGAGAGGTATTAGCGATCAAAGCGTGTGTAGATACTTTTAAAACATCCCGTATACGGTATGCATATCGAATTCTCGAATTTTCGGTGCTTATCGAATTTTCGAATAGTCAATTCTTATCGAATTTCCGAATATTGTGCTCGACGAATATTCAAATATTTGATGGACATCGAATGATCGAATGATTGACCCTCGAATATTCGACTGTCGAACAATATTCGAAATTTAAAATTTTGGAATATTCGACTATCGAATAATATTCGAAATTTAAGATTTTTGAATATTCGACTATCGAATATATTCGAATGAAAATTACGAATATTTGACTTTCGAATTTCATTCGAAATCTCAAATTTTCGAATATTTGACTTTTCGAATCATTCGCATTCGAATGATTTATTCGAATGATCGAATAATTATTCGATTCGATCCCAAGTATAACATAACCTCAAGCAATCAGATGTGTCTCTATATCTTCGATTTCCACCCGCGAGCACATAACAGATGGCATTATGAGAGCCAATGTGAATAAAAAAAACGACCGGAAAATGTTGAAAACACCATTTTTCTGTGCAATGTAACATAAAGCTATTCATATTTGTATTTCTATTGATGCGTGAAATGCAGGAAACTGTGTTCATTAGTGTAGTCAAAAGTGAATTCGTTGCCTGCGAAGCACTCTTCTCCCATTTTCGCAAGCACTATACTGTAATTAGTAGCCTAAAGATTTAACTTCTGTCCAAAAAACAGAAGCCAGTGGTGAGTTCACCCAGTCATCATGAAATAAGACCACGTGGCTGCACGGGGTTAATGATTTTGATGAGCATTGATAATCCCATCTTATTCTATCGATCATTAATCCAACATCATAACCACATCCAAAGCTCGGCACCAGCTGTAACCAGAGAGGATTTGAAACACCCCCTTTAATTTCAAAACTTTTCGCAAAGTCTGTTTTGCCTTGCCGCTTCACTGATACTTATTTTCCTTTTTTTACATCATTCAAAAAGAACTTGAAAAACTGTCATTATATCTGCGTTATGCGCCAGACGCGCTTTACTAAATAGATGGCCGCAGCCCCAAACCCGCGCTCCGGCATTCGTAGCTTCCCTCTGCCTCACTCACCCTCCACTTCTTCCCCACATCCTCCTTTCCCCACTATCGCCCCTCCACCTCTACCTATCCTTCGACTAATGCATGGCAAAAACCAAAATTCATTCAGTTCTTCAAGATATATATTGTGATAATTAGTGGCGAGAATGGATGATGTTAGTTCAATGATTCAAATGCTTAGCGAGTGAACTGACAATATGATTTGTGAAAAGGATGTGAAAACAATGCGTAAAGCCAAAATGAGAGATTCGTGCGGCAGTTTGCTTAGGGGGCGCGGAGGAGATTGTGCTGCCAGTGAATTTGAGGGCTTCAAAAAGCCAAGAGGAAATGAAACCTTCTTTGCTTGCAAGAAAACTTTGAAAGGGAAGGCACAATTTAGGCAAAAAAAGTACGAAATTATGCGAGCGAAGTGTTGGGTTCAGCTCACCTGGTACCTATCTGGAGCGGAACTAGACGGAAAAAATGGGTCGGCTTCCATTCACATAAGTTCACACAAGCTTTGTGTTTATTTGCAGCACAATTTTGAATTTTCGCCCTGTGCTAGAGCATGCCGCCGGCATGCCGACGGTCAAATTAAGATTGAGCATGCCACCAGCATGCCCACTCTCAACCTGTTAGAACTGATGTGCATGTCTCCTACATAACAGAAATAAGGACAGGACATCTGTAACATTAGTTTTTCTTGATATGGAATGTACTTACACACAAAGAGCGATATTCCCTTTGCTTCGTTCTGAGAATAAAATCCAGATTGACCCTGCTTCAGCTGCGCCGAGCCTTAACTGCTCCGTTCAATGAACATCGTTTGAAACCATATCTTCTTAAATGAATCTTGAACTAATAATTTGTCATACTCGGCTTCGCCACATTCCTGTCAGGCTTAACATGTTAGATACTATGTTTCGCCCCTGTGCACCGTCCTACTGTCAAATGTGCACATCAGTAAAAAAGCAGCTCTACTCTAGTACTCGACTTAGCAACCCACATGTTTGGACTCATTTTTGTCTTTCCAAGCGCAACACGAGAGAAAACAACGAGTGCGTCAAGCAAAATGCACACTCGTTTTGTGGATATACAGCACTACTATTACAGCAACCCCTAGACAACGTTTCTCAAAATCAGAGCTATGCACTCAGTTGTACGTTTACAACAACGATAAACGAAGGAAAGCCAAATTAGCCCGGATCCTTCTTATGATTTTTGAAAAAAAAACTAACAGTTTGGAACGGTGGGCATTGCAATTTGGTTTGAAGGCAACGTAAAGACCGCAGATTCTTTATTTATGCAGGGTTTCGAGTCACTCACGGATCCCGAATCATACTGCCTCTTAAAGGCAGCGGCTCGGCAGATTGACCTACTTCAGATTTTGACACAGACGGATAGGAGGCCCTCCAAGTGAACCAAAACAGCGACTCCGCGCCGAAAATGTGAACTCTGCAAGCCAGGGGGCGGTCCAAGCGCCGCTCCCCTTCCTCCTTTCGCTCCCCTAACACCTTGTTCGGACGAGTATTCTCCGCTAGACGGCGCGGGACCCCCCAACCGCTTTCCCGCATTGTGCATGCTATACAAAGCCAAAATTACAGGCAGCAGGGTCTTCGTGCCAGGGCCTCCCGACTTTCCTTTGAAAATTCTCGTCCGAGCTGCCTTTTGGGAATTGAAAAAGACGCCCCGAAAAAGGCCTTTTCACCCCCTTTTAAAGCTCAGGTTTGGGATCTACGGGTCGAGAAGGCCCAAAACATGCAAAAGATGGAAATGCAAAAACTGCCGAGCCGCTGCCTTTAACCCAATATTACTTACTTCGAGTGCCTTATCGAAATCATTGCGCGGGGTTATTCTCCACGTCCACAGCTTTGCGTCAGTATTCTAAAATTCTTTCAAAAACTCCAGGGGTCGAATGTTTTGATATTATCTGAAAATGGGTAAACCCTGGCCTTCTTCCCTCCCTGACCTTGTGGTTCTTTGAACCGTTTACGTCCCCAAGCTCATGGAAAGTCTGTAGAAGTATCCGCATTTCCAACGACAGTGTTGAGGCAGAGGCACAGCCTCGATATGAACTCATATCGCCCACCCTTACTTCAATGTGGAATATATGCAAGTTTCCATGCCGGATCCGTTCAGCCACAAGCATGTGTAACCTAAATGGAGCTAGCGCCATCGGCTTATCGCAGCAAGCTCATTATTTAGATACCGCACATAAGTCTGACACTTAAAAGCGTTTTTCTCATATAAACGTGAGAGACTTGGGCTTTTGCATTGGAGGCATATAGTTCTGGAATGCATGAAACACCTCGTGCTCTCCATGCAAACTGCTTCCCGAGTTTCTTCTTGGTTGGGTTTTATTAGCGAAAAGGGTCTCGTTGAGGAACAACCTAAGCACATTCCCTCACCGTTTTATTAGTCAGGAGCACTTTTTCCCTCGACGGCTTAGCCCAGTCCCAACACCGTACACAAACCACTGTGGTTGACAAGAGAATCCAAAGTTGCTCTATTCTCGAAGAAACCGCACTCTCAAATATGAGACCTTACAATACTCTCACTTCTCCTATTCATCACACTGACCTATCGAGTTTCATGTGAGTGATCATTACATTCGAGCAAAGTGCATTCAAACGCAATAACTTCAGCCAATTTATGGCTGTAATGCGCGCAGCTCTGCTCACCACTCCTGCTCTGAGTATCGCACGACAGTAGTAGAGCAGTTAGTACTAGCTGTCATCATATACCTGACAAGTTTCAGATCGCATTCAACCTATGGTTCGTATTTAGCACTTCATCTGTCAATAATGCCGAAACGTTCTACCGTAAAGATCTGCAAATCAGACAAGCCTCGCCGGGACAACGGAAGCCAATACCAAAAAAGGTTGCTATTTCCACCTCAACCGGACCGTTTTATTGAAATGCTTCAGGATGAGCCGCTTGGGTTTGGGGCGATATTCGCAGATCATATGCTGGAGATAGATTATGAAGGTGGTAAATGGGCAAAGCCTGTCATACATCCATACTGCAACCTTTCAATAGATCCTGCAGCCATGGTATGGCACAAGTTCCTACAAGATAGATAATGAGCTATAATAGAACACGTGACATCCACAAACACTTCTTTGCAAAAAAAAAATCTAAGAAGATGATTTCTTGATTATAAGAAGAAGCAAAAGCACACGCTTCGGATATAACTGTTGTACTTCTAAAAGTTTAATGTATAAAGAATGAAATCATAAAACTCAGACGCAGAGAAAAAGACGTTTCTAGGTATTACACTATGCTTATGAGCTGTTCGAAGGACTAAAAGCGTACCGTGGTGTTGACAATCGAATTCGCATGTTTCGGCCAGAGCTAAACATGGCAAGGATGCGAAGATCTGCCGAAAGAAGCACTCTTCCAGACTTTGATGGAAACGAGCTCTTGGAATGCATAAAAGAACTCGTAAGCAAGTGTTTATAGTCAACTCACACGTCTGACAGTAGAATAAAAGAAAATCAAGATGCAACGAGGCTCAGTGATATGTGGGACAAGATGACTCCTGCGGAATCTAACTTTGACGCTATGATTGTAAGTTGCGTGCAGCAGCGTAGCAAAGGGCCAGATAGACAATGACTTGAAATGAACAGCAGAGTATTGTAGACTGTGGCCATTGCTTCCCATCTAAAGCTATGCTCCACATACCTTAGCCCGGTCGCATTGCAATTTTCTTTTTCTATTGCCATACTGGCACCATAAAAAAGCGAAAGCAATTCTTCTACGCTTTATAATGGTCCATTATCATTTTTGTTGTTTCAAATAGGGGACATCAAGAAGTCAAGAAAACCAGTGTTTCTAAAAAATTCAATCAAGGCTCTACTACTTCAAAGAAAACCTGTCAGGTTTTGCGGGTTGGACGTCTTCAAGCGCGCGAATTTCAAATGCAAGACTGAAACAAACGGCTTGTTTACAGCGCACAAACAAACAAATTACACCAAATTTGGGCTATGTGTATACAATATTACTCCAAACTATATTAAGTAATAAGTTTTAAAAACTTACATGTCTTAATACCCGTCCCCGAATTTGTTGGTTTCTAGACCAACACCAAACTAACTGGGTTGGTACGGAACATAACTATCGGAGAGTTCAGATAAGCTTTGGATCTTTTCAAATTGAACCAAAACGTTCAAAAATCTATCATACAGCGAAGAAAGGGAATCAAACCATTGCGTCTCCCCTTTTTTTGAGCCAAAAAGAGCGTAACTCTACGCATTGATAGATATCGCGCTCCAATCACATGCGGTGCCGTCTGAACGACGAATTCGAAACGCACAAGCGTACCCTGATCGGCGACGCGGCCGCGCAGTTTTCTCCGCCGAGCGCGACAGTAAGCACGAACTTTTTGTTGTTAGCAACGAAGTTCTTTCGCTTTTTGAAGTTTCAGACGTCGATCTTGTGCGCTTGTGTTTTGTTTTTTCGCTTTTTGAAGTTTCAGACGGCGATCTTGTGCGCTTGTGTGTTTCGAATTCATCCCGATTTTCAAGCGTACGATTATTAGAGCATGTAGGAAGGGCAGAACTGGAACCCTTGGTTTTTTGTGACTTCCTTGCATGCACTATTTACGTTTAGCGTACCGGTGATGTTCCACAATAAAGTGGAATATCAGTAAAGTCAAGTAGATGTATGACAATGGTGGAAAGCAAAGTAAGACCGCTTACCGAAGTTATACGTGCTGATTGTTTACCGATGAAGTATTCTTTCCAGCCTTAATTTATAAACTCAGTTGTTAATATTACTAACAAGGAGAGGATACTTGGTCGAAAGCACCAATTTAGATGAGACATATATCTTCTTGAAGCGCTTGAAACGCTGATTCCAGATCTGTAATTTCCAGCAGCGGAGCGCTTTTGTATAAGGAGTTATGAGAAGTGTTTCCTCTAGGGTTGAGGTGACCCCCAGCAGGTCTCCCCCTATCTATGAGCACTGTAGAGGAGTATCAACTGGTGGCAACTAGCCTAGTGATAAGTACTTTGAATGAAAATCACAGTAAGGATTATAATACTCGGTATTTTGGTTTTTTAACATTTGTAACTTCGATTCGCATCAATATCATCAGAAATTTCAGGCTTTAGGAGTCAAAATTGCGATAAAGTTGCATGCGGAGGGAATTAAAACCTTGACACTCTCCTTATCAAACAAGTCACTTACCACTAGGTTAATTGCCACAGTTGGTACTCCTCTACAGTGCTCATAGATAGGGGAGACTTGCTGGTGGGTGCCTGAACCCTAGAGGAAAACACCCCTCATAACTCTTTATACAAAACCGCTCCGCTGCTAGAAAATTTAGATATTTGGAATCAGCGTTTCAAGCACTTTAAGATGATTTATGCCCCATTTGGATTGGTGCTTTCGACTAACAAGTAAGTATGTAAGTATGTAAGTATGTAAGTAAGTATGTACATAAGTATCATGTATCATGTAAGTATCCTCTCCCTGTAAGAAGCGAAAAGTTACGGCTTCTTTGCAAACTCGTTGCCAATTCTGGTCTCACCTGTTTGTAAGTGTAGCAAGCAGAAAAGAATTGGTCTTTGGGTGTAGTTTTCACCAAAAGCTGGAATTCGTTAGAAACTAGTTGTGGTCCTACACTACTACTATATGCAATGTGTACTTTGAGGCTTGAAACCATATGAGGATCTTTATGACAAAGTCAGATCAGCTACTGGGGTGTGAAGTTCCTGAATTGCCGCTCATTATTCGTGAAAATAGAATCGCGGCGGCCGTGCTTAAACGGCCTCCGCCGAAGTTCACCGAAATTTTCGCATCAGGTTTCTGTTCAGAGTGGACTGGTTCTGAAGGTTACCATTCAGCTACTTCGACATGGCACGCCTTTGTATATACTTAACTGCTTTAGCTTAGGGTACAGCAGGTAACGTGGAAGATAGTTTTCAGATTCTTTTCCAGTTTTTGCTTACATAGGCTGCTCACTGTGACGGTTACAAATTGTTTGATGCCAGAGGACATTGCGAGACGCGGTAGGGGTGGATTTGCAATAAAACAAATCACCATAAATAATTCGCCTTTCACTTTTCAGCAATTATGTTCTGTCAAGGATGGACGCCGTGGCACCTATAGGCGATGATTATTGAATTTGATCTTGACCATGTACTTTGTGCTGCAGGCGATGCACAGAACATTGGATTTAAATAAAGCTCTATCTCGTACAGATATCGAGCTTGAATTGTTTTCATCGAAGAAGCCGATGGACACCATGCAGAAAATGCCGGAGTGTCAGAAAAGGGTTCCGCATACAATCCCGTCGATCGAGGGTGAGGTCGCACAGGCAGATATTGCGGAGGTGTTGGCAGCAATGGCCCTTCCAGAGGTTGAGCTCTATGGAGATTCCCAAGGAAGGGACTTCGATGATTTTGTCTGCAGATTCATAATGAAGTATGGTAAACTTGGACTGCATAACGACATGCTAGTACATCTTTTTCTGTCTAAATTGGTCGGATATCCTAAGGCAGTGGCCGAAACACTGTCAGCAAGGATACGGGAGAGTACCTTCGAAGAAATTGTAGAAGCACTGCGAAACACATGGAGCATAAATGAGTCTGCTGATCATATAACTGCGTATGTACAACTCAAACATCTGCGGATAGCAAAGGACATTACAGCCTTTTGTCTTGAGTTAGAGAGGCTTACGCGGTTAGCGTATCCAGACACCACAGACAAGCAGCTCTCATGGATAAGAGCTGCAGAATTGGTTTTACAGTTGAGGGACTGGCCTGAATACTTCCAGATGTTCACCACCGTAGAGACAGCGCCGAGGGAATGCGCGTATGAGTTGGTGAAAGCTATGGCGTTGCGCTGCGAGCGTAGCAGAGAGATGGCTGTGGCGGTGCAACAAAGCACGGAACAAGTCGTGCTAAATGCATATGCCGATACATCCGTTAGCGAGAGCCAGACTCCAGTTGTGGAAAAAAATTGTGTCATGCAAGATACTTTGGCAGCATCTTGCAAAAGGTGGCCACACTGTTACAACTATAACAAACCAGGACATTATAGCCGCGAGTGTGGAGAAAGGAAGACCTCAGCGTCAGCAAAGAAACTTGAACAGTTCCCAAGTAACTTTACGGCATCTTTGGATCGATGGATTTGCAGCTCGGCAAGGACACGATCGAGGAAGAATCAGCTGTTTGGGAAGCAAATGGTGCTAAATGTACGTTTGCTGGGATTGTTTCGAAGAGCTATGGTAGATACAGGCTCTCAAATTAGCATCATCCCCCTGAGATTGCTAATAACGAGCATGAAAAAGGGATTTGATCTGAACGCGGACGTTGAAGAAATCCCGATTCAGCAGTTACCTTCCGCATACGATGCCTCCGGGAAACGGATAAAGTTCAAGGGAGCGGTGAAGCTCACCTTGCAAGTCGAGAGTGGCACCAAGCACAGAGTAGCCTTCTTCGTTAGAGAGGGAGGAGATGGCAGAGTTGTGCTCGGAACAAATGCGCTACCGCAACTTGGGCCATCTATCGCTGATTTGAGAAACACTCATAGTGGCACAAGAAGGACAGTTGTCGAAAAATTCGTCCAAGTCGGTGTTCCAAGAAAACGGAGAAAGCGGAAACAACAGCTCGAGACTGCACCGCTAACCGAGATGTCTCCTAATCGTAAAGGAGTAAGGGAAGAGGTTGCGAACTTTAAAGTAGCCTCGAGTACGAAGAGCAGGAGCGGTCGCTTTCAGCACGACGGTAACTTGGCAGGGGCCAAGCTCACCGTGGCGGGTGAGAACACGAGGATCTGCAATCCTGGGCGGTCCCTAGAGCGACAGCTCAAGAGAGCCAAGAGAGACAGGTTGTCAAAAGCCGCCAGGAATCGACTAAATCGAAATTCACAATGCCCTAGTTTAAGAAATGACGTGAAGACAACCGAGTCTGGTGCTGAATCACGTACTAAGAGCCACAAATATCGCATTAGACCCCTTAATTCTATTTTCAAGTATAGTCGTAGGTGGATGCAAGGACAGCCTCTTGATTTGGTAGATGATTGCCACGATGCGGGTAGCCAAGGTGGAAATCGGCCATCAATGGTGCAACAGCACTCCTTGTATGGAGGTGGGAGAAGACCTGTCGTCAGTTTCCTGGTCTCCAAGGATCAAGACGCGAAAGTTGTCAATCCTCACTATGCACAAGTCAAGAGTCGGGACGACTCTTACCGACGGAGGGGCATGTCAAGGATGGACGCCGTGGCACCTATAGGCGATGATTATTGAATTTGATCTTGACCATGTACTTTGTACCGTGGCGGCTATAAATAAGGCCGCCCGGCCGTTGTTTTAGTTATTGTTATTGTCTGCTAATTCTAGTCTTCTAATAAATTCTTCTATTACTCTCTCTATCCCCACCTGGACATCCGCCCTCGCACTAACGAACCCGGTTAGTGCGTGACAGTTCTCGATTTGGTTGCTCCCCGAAGTCACCAAGGCTCAACTTTTCACCATGTGCAACTTTGACTAATTCTCATTCTTTATTGGGACCCCAAACATGATTTGCTGACCGGCGGATGAGCAAGCATTTCGCAATTCAGTGCCTTTTTTCAGTCTGTGCGGCCTTTCTAAATTAGTAAAGGTGACATTTTGCCGAGACCAAAGTGGGAATTTGACCCTCAGATGTAACGATGCTTCTCCACTGCGTGATATTTCGGTGAAATCAGACTGTGGAGAAAGCCTCTTGGAGATTCGCGGACGATATCCAAAACCATCTACTATGTGCGCATGGCTGTACCCGAAAATTCCAGACATCAACATTACAAAGTGTGATTCCACTCTGTGACAATAGTACTTGATGCTGATCGAGTTCGGAAACCCTTGTAGAAAACGAATTCGGAAAACACAAGCGTACTAAGATCAACATCTGAAACTTCAGAAAGCGTAAAAAAACGAAGTTCGTGCTCGCTGTCGCGCTCGGCGGAGAAAACTGCGGTTGCTGCCGCGTGGCCGATCAGAGTACGCTTGTGCGTTTCGAGTTCGTCCCTTTGAACTATGTGGCAAGAAATGCTTTGCCAGATTGACGAGGCCACAGATTTGGTTGGGCAGAGAGGTTTTCAACATTTTAAACACTAAAAATGGGACTATACTCAATGACGGGGCCTTGAATCATCTCAAAATGTTTTTTTTACTTTTTTGCGGTATCAAATACTTCAAAACTGCTGTGCTTTCTTCACTTTTTTACTGTTAAGTTAAATGAAGAAGGGTTTCCCTACTGACTTTTACGTCAGGAGGGACTTTGTAAATTTTCGCGAAGTATGGGGGACTTCGTTCCCAAAAATGCTCCAAACCAACGCGTACTAGGCCCTGTTCCTTTCAAGAATATACATTCTCTTCACTCTTTGGTCCAAAAAAAAGAAAAATCCAGCACACGTTTCCACTGCGCCGAGCCCTGGTTCATCGTCCAAGCAGAAGAAATGAACATCGCTCGAAGATCGTAGAAATGCACGCGAAATATTCGTGCTATCAGACGTACTTTTGCGAGCATTCCAGTTTTCGAAGGCTGTACAAACAAAACTACCTATTATTAGAACAAGAACGTAACATTTCGTCATTTCAGTTAAAAATTTACTGGTCCAATTGACAACATCTAACATTTTAGTCTTTCTTCATCTCCTTATTTCAGATACGTATCGATAAGGAATGGGTTCCACGACGGAAGGGAGCTTCGCTCTACATTCGACCAACAATGATCGCTACTGACACTGTATTAGGTCTGCATGTTTCCCCCACAGCGAAACTATTCGTCATCATTGGTCCAGCCGGGGCGTATTTTGACACATTTGATGTAAATTTGAGAGCCTCTGAAACATTCAAGGAAAAGCAGTGTAGCTATTTAGCCAGTTACTCTACTAGCCGATCCAAGGTACATCCGAGCGGCCAAAGGGGGTGTAGGAGCATTCAAAATGGGATGTAATTACGCTCCTACGCTCATGCTCGGCGGTTTAGCAAAGGAAAAAGGATGTCATCAAGTATTGTGGCTTGCCGGACCAGAGCATTACGTGAGTTATTTGTGCATATGTAATCGAGCCTGGTTTGTATAAATGGTATGCCAGTTTTTGTGCCTTGCGCTATGTTGGACTCGTTCAACACTGTAAGGTGAAGATAGTGTGCAAATGTTACTAGATTTGACTGGTGAGTAACAACAACGACGATACTCGTCATAGTTGGCGTGGGACTTTATATTAGGTCGTTTCAAAAGTAATTTCGCTTTTTTCAAACGAGCGCCACATTTGATGGAACAAAGTTTTCTGAGAGATCTTGGGAGCATTCGATGCAGAATTTCATTCTCTTTCTAATGGTTATGAAAGCGTTGCAAAACAGTTAATGAGCTTTCAGAAAAATAACCAAAGTCTGCGACCCATGCTTTTTGAGATAGTCTAGTTTCACAATTTTTTAAAACTTTCACATCAAACCTCAAAAGAAGTTCAAGTAACTTTCGATAGAGCAAATCATATAGAAAGCAGAACTAATTTTTTGTCCTTTCCATAGCTTGTCATACATTTTTGACAGAATTTTAACTGATGCTACCGATTTTCATACTTGGGCAGCTAAATCCTCGCAGAACATCAAAGGAAGAGCAGCTCGGCCACTATTCGGCGCAGCATCTTCTCCTCTTTCTAACAGATGGTTTTTGTTCCGTTTCTTTTAGTTTTCGGGGATAAAATCATCACAGTTCATTTTTTCGAGGAGCCTCATGCTGTACCTGAAAATCACGAAATTTGATATTTCGAACCCGTAAACCCTCACTTGCTTTGCAAAGTTAGTGCTAACTCATAGTACAGTCTTGGTAGTCTCAAATTCCGAAAAATTATGATGTTTGCTGCGATTGTGGCTGAGGTGGGCCTGCCAAAATCCGATGGCTCTGTTAAAAAATCTTTTAAAAAATTCCGGCGAGCTATGAGAAAGAGAAAAAAGTAGCACTGTATTCTATGAGGTTTACTCTATCGAATCGTTACTTGAACTTCTTCTGAGGATTGATATGAAAGTTTTAAAAAATTGTGAAACTAGACTATCTCAAAAATCATGGGTCGCAGACTTTGGTCATTTTCTGAAAGCTCATTAATTGTTTTGCAACACTTTCATAACCATTAGAAAGAGAATGAAATTCTGCATCGAATGCCTCCAAGATCTCTTAGAAATCTTTGTTCCATCAAATGTGGCGCTCGTTTGAAAAAAGCGGAATTACTTTTGAAAAGACCTAATACTTATCCCCCTCAGAATGAGTCAAGAAATTTTTAAAGCTACTTACATGAGTTGTAAAATGTGCAAGTAATTTTTTATATTTGTTAATAATCAAAATAATTTTTCAAGTTTTTTTAGAAATTCGATTAGCTTCGCAAAAAATTGGCCCATATCACTTCTGAAAACCAGATTAGAGAGTAATAGTAATGGTAGTAAACAGATACAGGGTTTGGCTGGTTGTCAACCACAAAATGAACTCGTTGCGCGTGAAATTGACCTTGAGGCACTCTAAGTCATCTCTGGCTAACGTCTTATTGCTCTTGAGTCTGCTTTAGCAGTCTACTTTCTGTCCAACTATTTGAAAGGCCCTACTGCCCTTACTTCAACAGAATGACAGAACATTATTACAAAAGATATTAGTCCCTTTTTCGAAGTTATCATTCTGTCTACAGGGCTGTTGAAAACATCAGAAAATATATCTGAGGGACTGCCCGATAAGCTGAGCACGGATATGAATGAAATCTTGAGGATAACTTGAATAATAACTAAATAAATAACTAAATAATAAATATAACTCATATTCATTTCCAGCACTGCTCGCATTCTCTCCCAATTGTAAGTAAAATTCTCCACCTCTCACTCTAACGACAGCTTGGATAATTGATGTTTTTGATAGGGTAGTTTTGTGTCAGCCTCAGAGGTTTATGAATGAAAAAGAGAATTTTTTTGTTTTCACTTCTTCCATTGACACTCATTTAGGTCACCGAAGTTGGAGCTATGAATTTCTTCATGTTCTGGAAAAATGAGCAAGGCGAGGACGAACTGATCACTGCCTCTCTTGAGTCAGGTAAAGAACTAGTAACTTCAGAAGGATGTAGATAGCGCTCTCTTGCACCACCCCTCCGTGTCTCGGATTTCAGCACTATGCACAAGTACAAATGATTTAGCGGCGCAGCCGATACACGATTCACACGCCGAACCACTGCCAGATAAAACTTCCCTATTACAGGTATAATTTTACCTGGAGTGACACGCCAGTCAATATTGGAACTTGCAAGAGAGATGGGTGGCTTCAAAGTGACGGAGCGCGATTTCACTATAGACGAAGTACGAAAAGCTGTGAAGGAGAACAGAGTAAGTTTGATAAGGTTTTCATGCTCAACATAGTTACCTCGAAGTCCATTTCAGGACCAAAAGTGTGATGCACTGTCGCAAATGGGGTCGTATAGGGGGACCTAGGTGGGAGAGGGAAGGTGAGGGGGGGGGGGACCGTAAGAGAGAAGGTGGAAAAAAGACTGCGAGCATACTGTTAGAAGAAAACTGAGTAGCAAATGATCACGAAGTAGTCTTTACAATAAATCTATAGACGTTTCTCATTGTCAGTCGCAAACATGTGATCATCCGATTGGCCTGAAGGTGCTGTTTCCGAAGCCCCACTAAAGTCTTACACACTCGACAAAAGCGCATTTCTCTCCCAACAACGACCATCAATATTTTGTATTAGCTGTACAGTCCGCCCCAATCCCAACCAGGCCAAAATTGGCATGGCGGGAGACCGCGTCGCTAGGGTTTCGCGGTCACTCCCACGGCCTGCTTCTCTGCCCTCTCTTCAATCTTTTTGCTCTTTCCAACAGCGCGCACATGCAGCGCAGACCGCTAGCGCTCGAGTGCGCAAATTTACGCCGACCGTTCGGCCTGATCCCGATTGGAGCAGACTGTACTTCTGAGATGTCCTACTATATCTGTATATAAACTGGTCTTAATGTGTAGCGTGCGGATTGTCTTATAATTATATGTATGGCGACAAAAAATAGAGGAAGAGAAGTCGTATTATCTCGGTCATCTAAATTTCATGTAACCATGGAAGCTTGTTTGCTGGAATCTCGCGATATTACGGTGCCATCCTCTACTTGCAATGCTGGGCTGCTTCGTTTATTCAATTGTTCTGACACTCTATTACACCACTTGTTCGTTGCATCCTTAGCCTCGTCATGACTTTAGTTAAGTGCAAGTTTTTACATCGTGCGGGAAGCCGCTAAAACGGCTTTTCTCTCAGGAAATCAGTGCAGCAAGTAGAAAATAAGTTTTTCAGTCGCAAACATTCTTTACATTTCAAAATAAACTTCTTCTCCCCTTGAAATGGTGTTGCAGATGGGCGAACCCAAACTATCCTTATAGTCAAAGTTCGTTAGTAATTCCAGAACCATAATGAATGCGTCTCAGTGCATCCACTAAAACATGAATGAGTTATGCCAAACACTCATGAATTGCAGAAGAATTTCTCATCTGTTTTTAGAGAAAAAATACAATAATCAGTTGCGACGATAAAGTACAGCTAAATCTATGTGGAACCTTCCTAGTTGCTCAATCTATGCAGATTCATTTTAAAAGGTTTTTGAGCAATCTCCAGCACTACTCACATTATCTCCCAATTGTAAGTAAAATTCTCTTCCTCTGACGTACGATTTCTAATGAAGGTTTATTGGCATCCTTCGAGGTGACATTCGCTAATACAGGCTATTGCAAAAACGTGGAGATGGGAGGGGAGAGGAGGTCGTACGGATGGGTCCTTCACGGGAGGGTGTCGTAAAAGAGAGTAGCGGACGCATCATACGCTTAACCCTGGTCCACACATTTCTTATGTGTACATACTTTCTTAGGTGTATGAGATGTTTGGTACTGGGACAGCCGCAGTTGTGACACCAGTCGATAAGATTATCTATCAAGCTGACGGGGTGGAAGAGACGTTGAATGTTCCCGCAAAGGACGATGAAAAGTCGCTGATGCAAAGGTAAGCATCTGTTTACTACAGCCGCATGTTAGCGCATGCAAAGAAATCTTTGCTTCCTCCTCTATAAAGCCGAGTGGTGAGTAGCGTTCACCATGAGGCAACAGGTGTTGGGTCTGAATGCTCTACTTCTTTTGCGGCATGCCTTGACACCCGAAAGCGATCCTAAATTGCGTCCACGTACCGAAACATTTTATTTTATCTTTGCATTGCTCCCTTAGTCTGGATCTGTTGCTCTAGTTAGCCTCCTCCATACTTCTAACTATTACTTGATCATCTTCTATCTCAAGTTTCACTCAGGTCTGCTTTGACTCTGTCCATCTTATATATTAGGTTGATCCGAAGTTGGTCCAAAAGTTTTGCCAGTTTTTTCAGTCCATCGGCAAACACGCTAGAATGAAGATAAACAAACGCTTCAAAATGTATCCAATGCTTTCTTCCTCTTTCCAGCTGCTAAATTCTCATTGTGTTTCGTTGCGAGAGTGACGAGATAATTGCTGGAAATTACAACCACTCGTTTTTACCATGTCCAACTTTCGCTAATTCTCAAAATTTTTGTATGAGACTTTCGGAGGAGCTCCAATAACAAGCAGATAGGGCAGACTTTTGCCAACAGAAGCAATTTTTTGTAACCCTACGGCTTGTCTTTCAGAATCAAGATTTATTTTTTGAAGTGACCAAATTTTACATTCAGCCTATTTTAACCTCGTAGAACATAAAATGTTAAACACTTCAGTTACCATTCAATGCAAATTTTTCTCCTCTTTCTAACACTCGCCTTTTTTTGCCGAGACAGGCGGAAATTGTGGGGAAAATCGCAGTATTTCTCAATTTCAGAAATGCGCAGTGACATAGCCTATGTTCCAAAATCTTCAAAATTTGAAGCGAAAATCGTTCAAATACTTTGTAATGGTAGTGGTAGTAATAATCGTGTGTGGAAAGCTCAGTTTTCTGTTGGTTTTGCAGTGTTTGGTGCAACAACAAGTTATGCGATTTTTTCCAAAACACAAGACTTAGAAAATTATTTAGCAAAAATCTGAAAAAGCAGCTGAAAAAAAGAAAAATACTGCGTAAGTTGGCAAAAGATTTGCCGGTACTTTTCCGTTATCCGGACCCATTCTTTCAATGACGGATATTTATCTTTACCTGAGTCATATTTGGTCCCAAATACATAGAAAGGAGTACCAACCTTCTGCCACGTGTGAAAAAAATTTGACATGTTATCTACATGTTCACCAGGTTTTACCAAGGGAGGGTTTGTATTAAACCACCTAGCGAGGTAAGTTCAATCTGTACTTTAGTCAATGATGAACCCATCTTCAACTAGACAATTTCGGAATGAACACTATTATAATAATATCGTCATCCTATAACCATGAGCAGATTAGACCTGCCCAGAATGGAGAAGTGCGCTAGGATTCCATTATCCAAGCAGCGAAACAAGCAGCAGCGAGATACTGCAAGTCATCATTTATAGTCTCTCTGGCTTATTCGCATGGCGGAAAGTTTGAGGACGGAGAGAATTTTGAATGCTGAAAGCAATCAAGATGTTCTACGATAAGTTCCAGACACTTCTGCTTATAGAAACCAATTGAAAGGCTTTTAAGTGGTCACAAATGCTCTCTTACTTCACGAGAAATGATTTCAAAAAAAAAAGAAAAACAAGTCAAAATGCAACCAAAAAGTGTCAGTTTTTTTCTGACACGTGGCGGGGAAGTCTTTGTAGAACCTATGAAAAATTGTTTTTGGACTAAAGAAGGTATTTTATGAAAGCCTTTTGAAAAAATGGGTCCGGATAGCGGGAAAGTACCGATTTGCCCTATCTGTTGGTTATTAGGGCTCCTTCGAAAGTCTCAAACAAAAATTTTGAAAATTAGCGAAAGTTGGACATGGTAAAGCGAGTGGTTGTAATTTCCAGCAAATATCTCGTCACTCTCGCAACGAAACACAATGAGAATTTAGCAGTTAAAGAGGAAGAAATTCTGCATTGGATGCATTTTGAAGCATTTGTTTATCTTCATTCTAGCGTGTTTGCCGATGGATTGAAAAAACAGACAAAACTTTCGACCAACCTAATATAAAGCTGAATGTCTGTTTGCATGTCTGTATGTATGTATGGCTGCATGTACGTATGATCCGAATAGAAATTTTTATTTCTGAACCGATCCGGACCAATTGGCACACATACACTTCGGGGCGGAGCGGGTGTCGTAGGCCATTTTTCGTTAACGATTGACATCGATGCTATCGATTTTTTTTGCAAAGTTTGAGCTACGGGGCTGGGAGTTGGCACAGGGGGCTTGCTGATTACGAATACAATATTAATTTCTAAGATTATCCATTCCTTTATCGATTCTATCGATTTTTTTGCAAAGTTCGAGCTACGGGGCTGAGAGTTTGCACAGGGGGTGATCGAGCATGCTGATTACCAAACCCGGGAATAGGGAATTGGCATGTAGACGTGGACATAGGGAAAGGTTATACAGGGACAGGGATGAGAGCTTTATCATTTTTTGACGGGCCCGGGCAGAGCCGGGTAAACCAGCTAGTTAATCTTAAAGGTAGCGTCCCACCAGACTGGGGATACCTGGCTCTGGTAATAAAGTAATAGTAGCCCCCTAACTAAGCGACGACAGAAGTTTGCAGCGTGAAAGGGGATCTACGAACCAAATATGGAAATTGGTAGCACCGATTAAAATTTGAAAAAGCATGACGAACTATGGAAAGGAGGAAAAAATTGTTATGCATCCTGTAGTGTTTGCTCTATGGATATGTTACATGGACTCCTTGGAAAGTTGGTATAAAAGTTTAGAAAAATTGAGAAACTTGAACATCTTAAAAAGCATACTGTTGCAGATTCCGGTAAATTTCCGAAAGCTCATGACTGTGCAAGGACTCTATAATGGTCAAAAAGAATATATTAGGTTGGTGCAGAAATGCTGTCGTTTCATTTTTAAAAATTTGTAACTTTGCGCTGTTTCAACGGATTTGCATGTAATTTTATCAGAAAGGATAAGTCTTTCGCTTTCAAACGCTGTTCTGCTGAGCTTCTGTTTTACATTGGGTGCGGAGATAAAAATGGAAAAAGACCATATAAGCTTTGACCATTTTAAGTTAGGTCACAAAAAATCTGGAATGCTGCAGAAAAATCTGAAATCGTCAGTACATATGTTTTTTGGCCTACTCTTTGCAACTGCGAAGAGTTTGTGCTGTTTGAACGTTTCTGTGAGAAGTTATGATTTTCGCGAAATTGACAAATTAATTAATTTTGGCATTTTCCATAGTAAACTCGATATTCATAACTTCTCACAGAAACGTCCAAACAGCACAATTTTTTCACAGATGCAAAAGATAGGTCAAAAAACATATGTACTGACGAATTCAGATTTTTCTGCAGCATTCCAGATTTTTGGTGACCTAACTCAGAACGGTCAAAGTTTACATGGTCTTAGTTTTCCATTTTTATCTCTGCACTCAGTGTGAAACAGAAGCTCCACAAAAGAATGATTGAAAGCGGAAGACTTATTCTTTCTAATAAAATTACAAGCAAGCATATCCGTTGAAATCTCGCGAAGTTACAAATTTTTGAAAATGAAACGACAGAACTTTTGCACCAACCTAATAAATCGCTGCGTCGTATGCTGTCAAAATGTCTTAGAATCAGCTTCCAAGTCCCGTTTTCATGAAACCTTGGCATGTGTCGTAAGTTCAAATTTCTTTTGTGCCGTACAGGTTCGAGAAGTGGTCTTTATTTCATCCAATCACGACCTTACGTTTCGACGCTTTTCGTCTTCCTCAGAGGCCTGAATGGTTCTAAGTGTCATCCGTAATTCCAGACCACCAAGCGTTTCCTCCAGCTCTGCTAGTTTTCGACCTTCTCACAATCTCGCTACCAAATAAAATGTCAGTGTAGAGGACATACCGGAAGACTACTGTAACTCGAGTAGTTTGCACAAAAAAAGAAGGAAAAAGGCAGTCGCGGCACACGAGTGAATCATACTGTAGGTACACCAAGATGATCTACAGTTATAGATCACATAACAATACGAACGGGAGGAAGTCACTAGTTATTGATAAACACTCGTTCTTATTGTTCATCTTAGGATTCTTGCTAGCAATCCAGAATGCTTCCAAAGCTTTTCTAGCCGAGATCTCTGTTTCATACGCAAGAATTTTGCGTTTGACATCGAAGTCTTCTCCACCGTGCTGCGCGTCTCTATGCCTGCCGAGTGCCGAGCCCAAATTTCTGCGCCTTTTATCGGCCAAGTGTTCTTTCAAGCGAATACCCAAAACTCTACCCGTCTCTCCTATGTATATTGCTTTGCAGTCAAGGCATTCGATTTGATAAACGACCCCCACTTTTGCACAGTCTCCAACTCTACCGTGCGGGCATACTATGCATTGCTCTGTTGCACAGTATCGGTCGTAGAGCCTATTTCGGACTAGCTGCTTTTTGATATTGTCGTTGGGAATGTTAACTAGAACAACATCATTTTGCAAGTGGGCCCGAAAAATGCATTGCTGAAACGCCGCGATAAACTTATCTGAGATGAAGGGAAGGCAAAGTGGGAGCTTGTTGGTACTATGAATGCTGGCACCATTCCTAGATTCTTGCAAATTACGACCAACTTTTGATCGAATGTCTTAAAAGATGCTCGGATGCTAGAAGTGACAGAGGGAACCACTGCTCTGATCATTTGTCATCTTGCAATGAAGAGCCAGTGAGAGTCACAGTTGTTGGTAACACTCACGTATCATCTGATGTTATGAAGCTTCACAGCCTTGGTCGCTCCTTCTCCCCTGCACAAAATGTCAACGCTACAATATGTCGCAAAGTAGTAGGCAGCCTGCACAAACTCAGAGACTCTCTCAGGCTAAAAGAGCGATGCGAAGGTAACACACAAGCTGCTCAAGAGTCAAATCGGTTACCGGCGATCCATTTCCTCCATCTTTCTACAGACAGCCAGAGCCAGTATTGAACGTAGACATGAAGTTCCATATCT